AGGAAGAAATCAGATTATTAAATATGGTTAGGCTACCATGGTAATATGCCTAGAAATCGTTCAATGATTGACTGACAAAACGTAAACAGTTCAGATGTTCAAATTTGTCACAAAAAAAACAACCCAAAAATTGAATACTTAAAGGGTTAGTTCACCCCAAAATGATTCCAAAATGTACTCACCCTCAAGCCAGATGGATATGACTTTCTTCTTTCAGCCAATCACAATCGGAAATTATATTAAAAATATCCTGGCTCATCCAGTCCAAGCTTTATAATGGGAGTGAATGGTACCTTATTTTGAAGCCCAAAAAAGTACTCCATACAGCTCCAGGGTGTTAATAAAGGCCTTCTGAAGCAAAGCGATGCGTTTTTGTAAGAAAATGTCCATATTTATAACTTTATACTATAATCACTGGCTTCCAGACCGGTAACAGTCATCCATGAGTCTAGTTTTGGTAGAAGAGTGACCTCTGACCCTTTAAGAGTAAGATAACGGTACAGAGGAATGCTATTGTTGGAATCAATCGCTTTCAGAACGATTTGTTTTGGCTGATGAATGATAAAAACATGTGGCATCATAACTGCAGAGCATGCTTAAAATAAACACAATGTTATGGTCCTCAGTGTGGGCGCTAATAGTTATTATTATAGTTATATTTAGAGCTATCGGGCCAACACCCATGTCAGTTAGTCCTGAGTCATTAACTTGTTTTTAGACTCTGGATAATGGTCAACAGACGCGGAGAAGCAGAGAACTGTAAATTCCAAGACTATAAATTCTCCAAAGATGCAAAGACTTTGGCAGCCTGTTACCAGAGTGTCAATTTGCAGATCAGAGCAAAGAAATAATAATACTTCAAAAAGATGGAAGATGATCATGGCCTGACAACGCAGAGACAGTATAAGGGGGTGGGAGGCTTTGTGGTTGTTTGCAGGTTGTTGTGGTTCAGGAACTACCCAGACAACAAGTGATTGTCAAGACGTTTTAACCTACACCCCTTCCCCCACCTCTTGTTCTGGGGGTGGAGGGGAGATGCCTGGTTCTACTATGAGCAAGGTGTCAAGCCCTCCTCCCATTGTTTTCCACCCACATCAGAGCAGAATTGCCACCATAACCAGCACATCCCATCTCCTCTGTCCCGCTGCATGTAGTGACTGGAAGAGGCGCATTCCATCCCTCCATGCCAGAGTCCTACCCCCCCTCCTCCCCTGCCATCCACTCAAACGTACCCCTTGGGGTGTTTATGGGTCAGCCAACAGGATGCTCGGCCCATTGAGAGATCAAAGGATTCCCGGCTCAGATAAATGTGGTGTAACTGTGACCTCTTCAACTCTAATAGGGTTTAACACGTCAGGACAGGAGGAGGGATTAAAAGGTAAAAGGACAAACTGAAACTTGATTTGAGAAAAGAAAATAACCTTTTTTAAGATCTTAAAGGAGTCAAACTGAGGAGAAAAAAATAGTTATATTTCCTTTTTATGAAGTAAAATGTTTTTTATTATTATGAAGTAAATTAAAATAAATCACATTAGATTGTTTGCATTCTTATAGTTAACTAAAACTAAAAGCATTAAAAATACTCGAAATAAACATTAATTTGAATTGAAATGAAAATAAAAACAGTAATAATTATTAAAAAGACAAAAGACTAAATGGAAATTAAAATGAAAACAGAAAATATAACCATAAAAACGAATTCCCTAACCCTAATACACATCACTCACTCAAGAAGAAATGGGCATGTGTTCAACAGAGAATGGTCTCTTTTGAAGCCATCATTTGTTCGAACAGACATGAAGCTTGAATGTAATTCAACCAGTTTGACAACATCACAGTCTATACATAAAAAGAATCATGGAGTGATTTAGTCGTAAGCGTTTCATAAAAATGGGACTTAAACTCTTATGGCTTCAGTTTCTCATCACAAATCATCATCTTTCGATCTTTAAGACTAAACAAGACAGACTCTCAAGACTCGTAATGTGTGTTTAGCTGGGACATACAGAGAAAAATAATGCACGTCCCTTAAAAAAACTCCCTTAAGTTACACAATCTTATAGTAAACGTTTCAGTGGCAGTGTTTAAACTGAATGATAGTGATATATTGTATTTAAGGAACAATTCACTGAAAGAAACTGAAAATCTGTTTCATTTATGTTGCAATCATTTATTCACTATTATGAAGTTCCAAACCTGTATGACTTTCTTTCTTTAGTCAAACACAAAAAGAGGATTTTGAAAAGTCGCTCTAGTCACTCACTACTAGTCGTTCATGCAGTTATAATGAATGTTGGCTGAAGCATAAAAAAGCCATATAAAAAATTATAGTCGCTTTGAATGTGGAATTTTAATTCATCCTAATTACACTCTTCATGTTAAAAGCTGCAAAAGGGGATTTTCACAGCAATGCCATTGAGAAATAATTTTTGTTTCCCAAAGAACCGTTTAATTTGAGTGTCAAACTAACATTTTTTTTTTCTAGCAAAGAACATTTTAAACATCAAGAACCTACTTGGAATTGAAAGGTCCATGGATGTTAAAGATTCTTCATGAAACCATCAATGCTTTTGAGTGTAACATGAACAAATTGTTCTTTTGAGTTTAAAGGGGTGGTAAAGTATGATTTCAGTTAGTGTGAAGATGAAGTTAGTGTGAAATGTTGCTGTTTGAGCATAAACAACATTATCAAAGTTACAAAGCAAAGGAAGATATTTGCTTCTAAAGAAAAGGACTACAACAAACAGCTGGTAGTGACTACACGAGCTTCCTCTCGGGTTAGTAACATCACCAACCCTAAATGTACATTAACCCCGCCCCCGGGAACACGCAGTCCATGTAGAGAAGAGGAAAAGTTGTTGTATAGCTTTTCACATGCAATAGAAAGTCACTCAACAGTTCCTATATGAGCGATTTATAGATTACATGACAGAATATCCTAATTGAAGATAGTTAACTCCACATCAGCAACATAAATCCATCAACTATCCATTCAGAGACGTTCTGTTGCATTCTACATGTTGCCACTTCTTCTTGAGCCTCTCCATCTTTGACTGACTCCGTTTTAACATTACAGGGAGAACAGTTTCTGTTATTTTCTGCGTGTGAGGAAGTCACATCTGCTAACCATAGACAGTATAAGAAGTGGACAGAGTCATCTCATTGGAACTCCATTGAGACAAGTGAAGCCCGTTTTTTGGCAATTTTTTAGCACTTCCGTCCCTGACGCGCAGACTCATACAGAACTTGACGACGTAGATGTGACGTGAGCAAACCGTTTGTCTTCTAGTGGCTGTGGCATGAGAAATCTGAATCATTCCCTTCCGAAACTTGCAGAGGCGGAGATTGTGAATAGTAGCTGTCCATGAGCTAGGAGCAGGAGAAACTTTTGCTAGATATTCTGATTAATTATTTTGTCATTTTGTCTCCACGTTTCCCTGATTGCCCGCGAGCTTCTTCACCTGTCCATATGGTAATCTCTCTGTGCGACAGAGAGTCGCTTGGGACGCAATCGTTAGCCTACTTTTACAAAAAACTGCTTCTACGGGGCCATAACATACGCTACAAGGTAATGGAGAATTTTATACATTGTCGTGTTTCTTTAGAAATAAATAAAGGACAAATGGGGTCTTCAAACGCCTCAGATGTAAAGTTATTCGCTGTCAAAGTGACGCCAAAATGAATGGGAGTCAATGGGAATGCTAACACAAGTGAAGTTCTGCTACGAGATGGCAGCTCCCGCGAGGCTTCAACTTCCGGTCGATGGATTACCCCCTTGCTGCTAACTCACACCAAAGCCCGTCTAACGGAGAGCCTTGGCACTTCCTATTAGCCCCATTGTGTATCATCCTGGTTGCAGTTCCAGTAGAATTCCACTGGAGGTGATCATGGGCGAGAGCAGAATGAATGGGAGTCTATGGGGCTAAACGGCTAAAAGTGTCTCTTTCACCTGCTTGTCGTTAAATTAACATAGATTTTATTGTTGATTCCGCTAGTTCAATATAGATTATAGGCCAAAAGTCGAATGAACGAGTACTTATGTCCTTTTGATTTCTTACAGGTAAGGCCGTTGTTGGCCGGAACACGCTACACTCTAAAAAATGCTGGGTTGTTTTAACCCAATTTTGGGTCAAATATGGACAAACCCGAAATGTTGGGTTAAAAATGTAATGTAAAAATTTAACCCAATGGCTGGGTTAGTCCATATTTGACCCAAAGTTGGGTTAAAACAACCCAGCATTTTTTAGAGTGTAGCATTCTGCTATTGTGTGACGTCATCACATTTTTGAACGGATTTTTAGAACAGATAAGTGAACTTAAAAATGCCATTTTCAGCTGAGTGTATTATCTTAGCCCTCCCTTTTGAATGCAACTTTCAAATTACTCGACAAAAAATTACATCCTGAGAAAAGTGGATTTATGGGGGTGAAACCCCATTGACTCCCATTCATTCTGCACTCGACCGCGAGCGCCCCCGCATGGACAGAGACGCGTTACTGCAGCCAGTCCAGAACCCGGAAGTAACCAGCCAGTGCCAATTCTCTTCAATTAGACATTCTCTGCTCACACAAGCTCTTGAAACCCCGCCCTCTGCAGCAGCTCATTTGCATTTAAAGGGCCAGGCACAAAACGGTGCGTTTTTGCAAACCCTCAAACAGTGACAACTGTAACATGCTATATAAGAATATCTGTGGGGTATTTTTTGCTAAAACTTCACACACACACACATCTTGAAAATGGCATTTTACCACCCCTTTAAACTTTTCAGTGAACGATATCCAGTTTACAAAGCCTGAAAGACTGGTACGTAAATCAAACTCACTCATGTGTTAACGGCTCACAGCAGTTAACAGCTCACCAGAGGCAAAGATTTTAAGCTATTAACACCTCACATATTAGTTTGTTGTTAACCCAACACATATTGTATAGTGTGCAAGTTGTATGGACAACTTTTATGGTGCTTTTATGTTCTATTTAAAGCTTGAAAAACTCAGTCGTTCTAAAAGAGCAATCAGTACATTTTATTCCACTGAAGAAAGAAATTCATATGAGTTTAGAACAATACAAATGTGAGTAAATATCAGAAAAAAAACCCTTTAAACAGTGTGTATAACTGCTAGCCGTTGTGCTTGGTGCGTCCCTTTGTCTCTGCTGACTTTGCTATACAGTACAGAGCAAAAGACTGAACGCAACCATCCCAGAGAAGCCAGCAAGATGTGTCCGAATACCCATGTGTCTCGCAGACACCACTCATACAGCACAGCCTTCAAAGTATTCAGTGCGTCAAGAGAAAAAACAACCCCAAAACATCTAGGCAAAAGAATTCCAATGGTAACATAGACAGAATTGTGGCCCCAGCCAACAGACACATTCACAGGCCAATTAAGACTAGCTGGCATATGTTTCACATATTACAAATAGTTTAATAATTACAGTAAAGAACACAGTTGAGGCACTTTGCGAAGTTCAAAAGTGGATAACATTTGAATTTAAGCGGCATCCAAGGATGCTCTGAAACCATATCGTAAATATGAAAAGAAACCAAAAGCTTTTCATATCAAGTGCAATTTATGGCCATTTTTAGAAAACGCTACCCTACAGTGAAAGAACAAACAAGTGCACTCTGACATTTAAGAGGATATTTGTGATGGCTGTGTGAATCCCTCAGTGCGCTGACAGGAAGGCACTTTCTTTTTTTATAACACATAACATATGAAATATTTTACCCAGTGTGATTATGGAGAATATCATCATTTTTATCAGCAGGACCCAAAGAAATAAAGTGATAGTTCACCCCTAAATTAAAACCATGTGATCATTTACTCACCATCATGTTGTTCGTAAATCTTTTTTTGACCATACAATGTTGTTTTGGACCCCATTGACTTTAATTGGTACAAAAGACGATTCTTCAATATATGTAATTTGTTTATTTGTTCTAATTTCTCTACTGACTCTTTACTTGTCTTTTATTTTTTTTTGTGTGACTTTTTAGTCGTCAGGAAAACGGTTTGTGTTAGAAATTGTAATCAAGAATTATGACTGGTATGTAAAATGCTGGTGCCAAACTTGTTTTTGGATTATGTAACCTCGTATTTTAATAAATAACTAAAAACTTGTTTCTGTGTGTGGCGACATGTGACATTTATTAAAATGTGTTTATGAAAATATTAAAAGTACGTTTTTTAAGCCTATTAAATGATTAAAAGATAGCTTTGAATTATACTGTGATGTTGAATCGCTATAATTACTAATTTTACCCCCCCCCCCGCCCCCCAAAACAAAAAAAAAATCGATTAATCATGATAACTTACAGAAAAATGTTTGAATTTTAGATTAATTACTTTGATTATTTTTTTTAAACAACTGACAGCACTAATATATATATATATATTTATATATCTTTTGTGTTCTGCAGGAGAAATAAAGTCATACAGGGCTGGAATGACATGAGGGAGACTCAGTGATGACAAATTTAAATTTTCGAGTGAGCTATCCCTTTAAATACATATAATTTCACAATCAATCATAATTATGAAGATTTATATTGTTTACCTGTTTTAAGGCACTGGTGGTACTGAATCAAGTGTCAATAGGGCTCAAATCGTCACACATCGTCGGACAAGAGTGAAATGATCTTGTTCCAATTTAGGCGTCACATAATTATTGCATTATACAAAGTATCTGCAAGTAATACAAACACCCACACCTATAAACACATATAAACACAGAGCTAAAATATCTCTGTTGGTGCCTGTCCCATGGAAAAATCTGGATTGATTCATAGATTACACATTGCTCAATATACGAAGCTTTTCAAGTGTCAGATAGAGTACCAGTGCTGCTGTGCTGACCGTGATCAGCAAAGCAGAAGCAAAAATCAGCATAGGAAGATACAGCTCAGGTGATTACGGTTTGTCACTCAGTGACAGAGACGCTGAGCCACAGTGCCTCGGTCTCCAGACCAGTCTGTGATTCACAGGACAGAACATACTGCTTTTTAAAAAGTTAAAGTTCAGTCTCAGCCGCCAATGCTCAAAAAGTTCACCGCCTGATTCGCCTGATCAAAAATCTTTGGAATGTTAAAAGCAGTATAAATCATTGCATTGTCAACAAGAATGTTCCCTTTTCATAAAAAAAGTGCATGTTTTGGATGTTCCCATTATGCTCTCTTCTTCCCAATCTCAGATTGGAGTGCTGCGAGAACGGTGGAGGCAAAGGGTTCGCCGAAGGCACGAGGAGCTCATTTACCAGGAGGTTCAACAGGGTTGTATTCGGTCTCTCCTGAGGACACCTGGGAGATTCTGCGTGTGGAGCCCCACAGTCGCCGGGAAAACTGTCCTGATCGCACCTGAATTAAGACAATTAGGTTGAAATATTCTTCTGCTGATTCATTTTACCAGTGCATATATTATGAACTAACATGAGCTAATAATTTATAATATTACATTTTAGGGACGTCATTTCGAATAATTTTTTCTTGTACACCATAAAAACTAATTGTAATCAAAATATTATTTGTTTTACACGGTTTACACAATTTTTACTTTATATTTACAAAAGTTTACAAACTTTTACACTTAAAATGTTCACTACCGCTTTGGGTCCATAAGACTCTTTTTCTTTTAAGAAATGAATACTTTTATTTAGCAAGAACATATTAAATGGATAAAAAAATTAGTTATTTAAAATAAATTTAAAAAAGCCGTTCTTTTGACCTTTCTATTCATGAAATAATGCTGAAAAAATGTATTTCTGTTTCCACACAAATATTTTTAAAATATTCATTTTAGCAAACACTGAATATTAAATATAAATAAATTAAATATATAATATAATTATATATAATTATATATAATATAAATATAATTAAATATATAAATAAATATTATCCATAATAATACAACCATTGATAATAACAGGAAATGTTTCTTGAGCAGCAAATCAGCATATTAGAATGATTTCAGAAAGGATCATGTGACACTGAGCACTGAAGTAATGATGCTGAAAATTCAACTTTGCCATTACAGGAATACATTTTAAAATACATTTAAATAGAAACCAGTTCGTTTAAATGATAACAATGTCACAGTATTACTGTTTTAATCAAATCAACGCAGGCTTTTTGCACATAAGAGCACGAAACATTTAAAAAAAAATAATACCAGCTGCAAACATTTGAATTGTAGTGTAATAGCAAACTGTACATTATGCTGATGTACTAACACTATAATCTGACAGAATATAGGTGACAGTTTCATTGGTCACTCCTTTAATGAGTAGCATGCATTCTATTTCAGACAGTAAAAACTTAATGGCCTAAAAACCTTTCCACACACAGACCCTCTCAAACTCACTCACCTCTTCTGGCTTTCCTGCTCCAACCACTATGAGTTTGCCATCCTCTAGGCCCACCAGGATATGACTGCTCTCTTTCGTGACAGACACACAGCGCACAGGGACCTTCAGGGCCAAGGGCGCCACAGCCAGATTTAAGCTACACACAGAAAGAGAGACTTGGGAATGAGAAGTAAACATGGACCCAGCTGCTGAAGATTTAATGTGATGACACAAAGGATTTAAGAATTCTTCAACAATAAAGATAAATACATGTTTGATCAAACATGTTGTGCTAAGCTGGGCAGCTGTACGCCTACACTACCGTCAAAAGTATGGGCTCAGTAGGATTTTTTTCACGGTTCGAAATGACTTAGGACTCTTGGGGGGTCCCCTAAAATGTATGTAGGCCTAATTATTAAATGCTTAAAAAAAAAAAAAATTCTGAAAACTACCTTGCTACACTATGGACCAATGTCAGGGTTTTTCGTGGCTCAAAATGAGGCAGAGGTGGAAAAATCGTAACACTAGGGTTGTTAGACATAAATGTAGTCCTGTGATGGCACCTCTGAACTGCTCAAGAAACATTTATTGTTGAAAACCTCTTAATATCACGTGGAAACAGTGACTTTCAGGATTCTGTGATGAATAAAAAGTTCAAAAGAACACTATTTATTTGAAACAAATTGATTTGTAACAATGTAAAAGTCTTTACAATCACCTTTGGTCAATTGAATGTGTCAGACCCCACACAGACCCCAAACTTTTGAACGATAAATGTTAGAGGTGTGTTTACCTGTACAAGTCTCGAATGTGAAGGTTCCCCTGTTGTGTGCCCACGATGAGGTAGTCAGGCACCAGGTGCAAAGCTGAAATCTTCTCATCCAAGGTCTCAGATGCTAAGAGAGAGCCATTTACAGAATACACATGCAGTGCATACTTCTCCTACAGGCACAAAAGGCAAAAAAAATCCATCAATGTAACAGTCAAGGGGATGCACTGCACTAATGGACCTACATATAAAAACAATATATGTTTTTTATCATTATTTATCTGCTTTTTTTTATAACGTGTTAATTTCCACTCTTACAATAACTATTCGCACCGGGTAGTTCTAGAAACTTAGTTCTGGGAACTAGCCACCAGGGTGGTTCCCCGAGAACTAATGGTTCCCCTTGGCATGGTTTCCTGGTTGCATTCGCACCGCTAGTAGGAACTCTGAAGTGATGTAAGCTGCACTTGTTGTGAGTCTCAAAGCCTGCATCTACCGTCCCCCACCTAGAGTCCCACATTCTCAGACCCCTCGTTTTTCGAGACAGCGCCTCCAATCAAATTGGATCGGATAAACATGTGAAGAACTTAAGCGAAACGTATCGTCAATTTTATTTAGCGAATCATACTCATTCGATTTCTTTTTTTAATCAAACTACTTTATAGCTCATCAGGACATAAACATATGAATGGTCCAGTTAATATTTGTAAAGATACTTTGTAACAAAATTTGAGCGATTAATGTATGTTTGTTTGCCTTTTCCCCCGAAAATATTTTGATAGCTAAAATACTAGCCTTTAACCTTGGACTTTTTGTAGACAAGCCATTGTAAAAATGTTATTAAAATGAGTTGACATTAAAGTAGACCAATTAAATACATGAAGTGTGTTAATATAAAAAGTCATCATTAATTATTTTATCAGATTTACCATTTGAACTTTTTAAAATTACTAGACCTTTTCTCCCAAAACTATAAATTGAATTGGTTAATGCCGGAGTAATTATTTTACTTTATATAATTTATGTAGACTACTTAAATTAGTTCTTATAAAACAAAAGTATTAAAATGAATCAATATCAATTTAACTGTGATATGAAGTTGTTGCCAGCCATTTTCATTTTTTTTCCCTCATTCAATTTCCTAATAATCAAATTTACTATGCCTTCACTATGTATTAATGCTATTAATTATGCTCTTCTGCACTCCTCGAATTCATAAAACATTAGCCTAAAAGGACTGAAGAAGATATACTGCATATATATATATATATATATATAGTGTTTCTTGAGTAAAGAGAAAGCTGTACTTATTGAAAGAACCAGTTCTTAATTAACCCTTGCATTGCAAACAAGTAGAGACGTTCCAAACTGTGTGGGGCATTCAATCATAATATGAGGTTAGACTAACAGTTTGACAAAACCAATGGAGTTACACGCTTTGGTCACAAGCTCTTTTTAATACCTTTTATTGGTTAGATTCGCAACACTCACAGACAGACGTAAAGAGTAGTGATTTATGGGGGGGAAATAAAAATGACGCAAAATGAAGATACAAGGTTTCCGCCCGACAGCAACGACTTGCTTCTTTTGAAACAGTTTTTAGTGGTCTGCAGTCAATCAGTACCTTTCCAGCCGTGCGGCCCTCCATAACAGTCTGTGCCACTATGTGCCCCTCCATGCCGACCTCTAAGTGTGCCACAGGGGCAGGAACGCAGCTCTCACACGGTGGTCTCAGTGTCCGCAGGTACTGTCCACGACGCACACTGTGCATGATTACTGTGCCATCCTGAACGTGAGACAAGTGAGAGGAAACTCATCAACCCTGATGGCAATGCAATACATTTTAGAAATGGCTTGATTTAAACTGACCTTTGACCCTGAGAGCGCCATATCCAACTCAGTGCTGAGGGCGACACATGTGACCTCTTGATCATGTCCACAGAGGACCTGCACGGGCCGTGGAGACAGACCGCTAGAGAAACCACCCTATCAACGAATATCATCACTAGTTATATTATATAATCATGCTGTAGTTCGGAATATTATTATTAACACTACAGTTCAAAGGTTTGAGGTCATTTACATTTTTAGGTGTTTTTGAGTGTTTTACGCTGCATTTGATCAAAAATACTGTATAAATACAGTAAAAAGCAATATTGTGAAATATTATGATCATTTGAATGACCTGTTTCTATTCTAATATTTTTGAAATTACATTTTTTTCTGTGAATTTCAGCATTCATGACTCATGTCTTCAGTGTCATATGATGCTTTCATAAATACTTCCAATATGCTGATTTGGTGCTCGAGAACTTTTTCTTATTATTATCACTTGTGGTGCTTAATATTTTTGTGGTAACCATGATGCAATGTTTTCAGGATTTTTTGATGAATAGAGAGTAAAAAAAAAAAAAACAGCATTTATTTGGAATAGAAATCTTTTGTGATATTATTCATTTAAATGTCTATACGGTCCCTTTTGATCATTTTAATGCATCCTTGCTGTATTATTTTATTAAATACATTAATAATGTATTTAATAATTAAAAAAAGTCTGACTGACCCCAAACTTCTGAACAGTACTGTATCTCAGGGACATAAACTGAAGAAAATCAGTAAATCTCGATAACAGCAAAATAAATATGCTACTAAACATACTGTTTTATTTAATAAGTTAAATTAAAATAAACATTAACAAAATAAAATAAAACAAAAGAATATAGTCTTAAATTATATCAATTAAGCAAATACTGCTTCAATTATTGAAGTAAATAATTTGTAACAAAATGATAAATTACGAGCAATAGAAAAAAACAAACAAACAAACAAACATAATGTAAACAGAGCTTGATTTTTTTTAGGTTACATTATAAATGTCTTTACTGTAACTTATGATCAATTTAATGTGTCCTTGTTAAATAAAAATATTAATATCTTGACTTTTAAACAGTAGTGTATTTTAGATTAAAATTAACCGATGGACATTTTGACCAAGAAGTAAAAAAAAGAGAAGCACGGACGCCCTTTACATGGGAGCACAAGTGTTCAAAAGCAGCTGTCTGTCAATGAGACAGAGAAATGTGTATCGAATTGAATCGGTACATGTTACTACGTAATGCGTACTTCTGATATTTTTGTATTAACTTGGTACTAAAGTACAAGTATTTTGTGTTATCAAACCTGCTGTAGGACCTGCCACACCATGCATGTGGTGTCCCGTGAGCCAGAGATGAGGTAGATACCACAGAGATCCAAAGCCAGGCATGTGACTACATCTAAATCCCACAGAAATGCATGTTAATTAGTCATCATGACATGCGCATAATCAACTGCATAATGAAATCAGCAGTTTGTACCATCCAAATTATGAATGCTTTAATCATTAATAGTTCAGTTTCAGCAACAAAAGATTCAATGAACAACTCTGCCGTATCTGACAGCAGCTCATTTCATTTAGGTTTTATATGAACAACTCCATCCAATGACTACAGCTGCGTCTTGGCCGAGTACTATTTCGGGCAGACGGCTCTCACCTATGTGACGGCAGATCCTGCCCACCAGTTTGGCCTTGCCTAACATAGTGACCCGCAGGCTGCAGTCCCAGTGCCCCCCGCTGAACAGCAGACGCCCGTCACTGGACACCACCAGCACCTGGGAGCCCATTTCCACCCCTGGGGAGAGCGGCCCACTGAGGAACCGCTGGGTCCTAAAAACAGATCAAACAAAAGGTCAGTACCAACAAACGGGACTAAACTTGTCAGCAGGAACAGTGGGAGAACATTTTCAAATAGATCAATGTTGTGTTTAAGTATCAGATTCGACACATGTTAGCAAACCACTCATAAATAACAAGAAAGGCTTGGCAAAGCAAATGAGATTTTACTACAAACGACTCAATTTGTCTAAAGAACATTATAGAGATGAAAGCAGCCAAACCACCAGAGTTTGAAGTCAAATAGCTGCTGTTTATATGCTTCTATAAAGCTTTTGATTATTTGTCCAAGGACCAGCGTTGTCACCAAACATATTACTTTCTAGCTAAACAAAACCTAGTGTTTAAAGGGATACTCCACATTTTTTGGAAATAGGCTAATTTTACCACTGATATTGCAACTGATATTCTTCTAAATATCAAAAAATCGGCTGAATGGATTAGAAAACGGTAAAACTCAACTGTTTAACTCTGGGGGAGTGGTAAAACTAGCCTATTTCCAAAAAAAAGTGGAGTATCCCTTTAAAACCGTATGACATCACTGATCAAAAGCCTCTGCACTTGATTATATAATGTGTTTATAGTGAATAGTTAACTTACTTTGAGTTGCTCACAGAGGGGTCTCTGGTGAAGGTGAAGTAATTGGCTATGCTCTTGTCGTAGGGAAGCCAGCTATGAGTGCCTATCATTCCGTTAGCACTCACCGTCACCTTAAAAAACAGGACAAAAGCCATTCAAAAGGGTGTCTGCTTTGTAACAAACTTACTGATGTCAGGGACCCCCAAACTCGATGAACCAATTTACTAAAATATAAAGGCAGAATATACTACCGTTCAGATATTTGGTGTTATTAAGATTGAAAGAAATGAACACTTTAATAATCTGACAAATATATTCAAATACATTTCTATTAATCAAATAATTTTCAACAGATGATAATAGTAAATATTTCTTGAGCAGCATATTAGAATGATTTCTGAAGGATCATGTGACAGTGAAGACTGAAGTCAGATTTGCCATCACAGGAATAAATTACGTTTTTAACCTACATTTAAATAGAAAACCGTTATTTTAAATAGTAATAATATTTCTCAAAATGATGGTATTTTTTATGGTATTTTTAATCTCTCAAAAAACGATTTTTCAAAAAATCGTACCAACCCCAAATTTTAAACGGTAGTGTATATAGACCACTGATCTATAAATACATATGTTATATATCGATAAGTGATAAAAATCCATGTACACAATATAAAGAGTGAGAAAGACAAATTGTTTTCAAAATGATCTGTAAAGTACGTATTTTGTGTTAAGTCATTGAGCAATGTTTCTATTGTAACATTTCTAATTGATTTCCAAATTGTTTGTACAAATCATTCCAAAGCGGTTTTACAGAGAATTATACATTTCTATTCACACTTGTTTTGTCTTATTTTACATCATTTTCAGTCGTCTGAAAGTCTGTCGAGGCCCCCTAATGGACCCAGGCCCTTTGCTTGAGAACCACTACCCACTTGCACCCAAAAATTCCTGTTTTAAGTAATTGGTTCCTCCTAATTGAATATTAGTGTACAACAAGTGAACATACAGTAACTGTGAACTAATCTTACCAGTATGTCAGAACCTGGGATGATAATGGAGCGGGTTTGATTTCGGGGCACCAAAGCTTGCACTAATGGCAGCCCATCACTCACCACCTCCACGAAAACAACATCAAAAACAATCACATCAGTTTCACAAAAGAATCTCCTTAAATCAAACTCAAATGTGACATTTCAGCACATTATTCAGTTGAAATAAAACACTGATAAATTTGGACTTACCTCCTTGAAAGATCGGAGTTTACTGAGCTGATCAAAAAGGTTGGGGGGAAGTAAGTCCAGACGGGCCTGCCGCCTGAATGCGTTCTCTGCTGACAAACGGGGAGGATGAGGCTCCTGAATGACACAGAGAGGGTTCACTTTTACCCACAATACATTACACAAATGCCTTTAGACCCAAGGTATTAACAGATACAACTTTTGAGTTTAATAATGTATTAGTCAATGTTAAACAATATGTGAACATTGAGGTTAATAAATGTTTAGAAGTATTTTTCATTGTTAGTTCATGTTAACTAATGCAATTAACTAAAGTTAATAAATGAAACCTTAATGTAAAGCGTTACCAATATTGGATGAAAAACTAACTGAAATAAGTCAAAGCTCTGAACATACTAAATGGAAATACACAACATCTAAAATTGAAATTAAAGTGAATTCAATGCATTAAATAGTAATATATATATCCAACCTTGAGAAGCTGACAGGGTGTTTGACCAAAGTTGCTGATGATGCCTTCCAGGGCCTTGCGCTCGGTCTCATTAGCTATGGCGTCCAGATCTACTGCACCTGACAGCCAAAACACACACAACGATCGGTCATATTTTCCATGCAGGAACATGTTCAAACTAATACAAACTCATAAGAGGCCTCTTACCCTCATAAGTGCAGTAGTAGAAGACATTAAGAGCCTCCACTGCTTCAGGTCCTCGCTGTTTAAACCCGAATATGAGATCTATCCACTCATGTAGGTGAGCAGACACATACTCACACTCCTTTAAACACACAGATATACACAAGGAGAGTGTGTGTCAGATCAAGAACAAATGTTTTAAAAGCCAATGAGACATTGATCCTGCAGCGTCACGGCAGAAATATATTTTTGCCATTGTTAATTCCAGTCTAAATTGGATGTGATTACATAAAAATACATGTTTATTATATTCAAAAACACACAATATAAACACACACATACATATATACAGTATATGTGTGTGCTTTGAAATGAGTGTGTTGTGCATTGTGTCAGTTCCCACACCAAGGCTTTTCTGTGTTTCCTGATGAAGTCTTCACGTGAAGATGCCCACGGGGGAAGCAACACATCATTGACCATTTCCTGATTCATTTGCAAGCATCCCAGATCAAAATCTGCACACAAGACATAATACAATTTAAAGTCCATTTAACATATATCTGTGGCAGTGTGCTTTTCATCATTGACTCACTTACTGTTCAAGTTCTGCAGGAACTCTGGGAAGTAGAAGAACTCTGGGATGAGCTCCTTCACATCCGCTGGACTCTCCATTCGCGCCTGCCATGCTGCTGCTACTGAATGAAACTGCCTATCGGCACAATCAAACCTAAACACACACACACACACACACACGGAATCACTTAAATAAGAGCAGCCCAAACAAATGACAATGTGCATGATTATTTAAAAACCATCAGGTAAACAATACTGCAACCTAGTGGTGGTTGTACAAGGATGTGCAAACAAACAGGATTTTTTTTTTACAATATTTATTGTAAATATTTATAACATTTACAATTTGATGTTGGTGATCTACATTCCTGTATGTATATATAGTTTTATAATTTTTGGAGTGTCAAAACCATCAAACTAATTTAAATAATCAATAACATTTAAAGAGAAGATATTATGCTTTTTTTTTATTTTATTTTATTTTATTTTTTTATTTTTTTCACATTTTCAACTTTCTTTAGCCCTGCAAAGTTACAAAGTCCACTCCAAAAGGAGTTGCTCTCTCTATATATGTAAGCACTTTTTCTGAAATCCCTGAAATGCCACAAATGTCTTGAGTTTTCTTCCGGGAACATACATGTCACAATATTCCTCATTTAAAGGGGAACTATACAGTTTTTTTTTTTAACTTAACTGAACAGCTTCGGAGTTCTTTGAATGGCTATATGACTTTTTTCGGGTTGAATGGATCTTTGTATTTATTCAAGTGAAAATTCTCACCACTAACAGCATATATTAAATCTCATTAAACGACAAAATTGTATTGAATTTGTACAAATTGTATACTATGTAACATGTCACGCCAAGTCAAACTCTACGTGAGTGGTATTTATGACAGTAACGTTAAATACAAGTACTCTAGGGGCCGCTGTTTGACAAAAACACAATTCCTGCATAGTGTGCCTTTAAATGATCTCCTCCTGGTACATGTACTAACAAGGTGCGAGGCCTGGTTTAATTAGTTAGGCATTAGTACTGTGTTGAAATGCGTGGTTATGGTAAGGGCGTGACATTGTGGCATTGACCAATCCCTCTGGGTCCAGCCGACCAATCTGAGCTCATTGCACTTTTCCGGAAGGAGGGGCTTCATAGAGATCTGAACTAAACGGAGCGTTTCAGACATACCTATAAGAGACATGCTGCAAAAAATGCAGCATATGTGAATATATATATATATATTTTTACATTCAAGGATGAATTCTATCATAACCCAAAAACAAAATCAAGGTCATTATATGGCCTCTTTAATGATATTATTAAGATTTTAGTTCAATTTGTACCTCAGGTAACAATACTTAGAATGATTAAATGCATACATTCGAGAACATGTCTTTAGCTATAAAACAATAATAATTAAAATGCGGCCCGAAGCAAAATTAAGCACAACCTTGAGCAGGGGTGTCCAATACTGCTTGAAGGGCCAACGTCCTGAAGAGTTTAGCTCCACCCTGCCCCAACAGGCCTTCCTGGAAGTTTCTAATAATCCTGAAGACCTTGATTAGCTGGTTCAGGTGTGTTTGAGTTAAACTCTGCAGGATGTTGGTCGTCCAGGTAAAGGATTGGACTCCTCTGCCCTTAGCTTGCAGCTTTTGCCCAGTAGTATGACTGCACTTGTGTGTGTGTGTGTGGGTGTGAGAGTGTGTGTCTTACTTGCCGCTCTGGAGCTGTATATGTAATGAGGTGAAGGGCTCTGTGCGGATCATGTAGTGCATGACGCCGGCAGCATTAGAGTAGTGTGTGCCATAATGGAACTTATCGATAGTGCCTGTTGGGTCCTCAAAACTCTCATACCTATTCAAACAACAACAAGACATTTAGCAATCAGCTGACAGACAAAATAGTCTACATTACATTGCTTTGCCTCATGAAAGATCAAATTATTTCCTTATTGAAATCTATTTATAAACCATGTTATAGCTATAGTTATAGTAGCTATAGAAGTATTGTTATCCATCCTACTGGTTTTGTGATACACATATTGTTTGATAATGCAAAAAGGACTGCAAGACTGTCTCACTTCTCCCTGACGTTCTGTGCATGGCGAGAGTTGACAACACCAATGGGTTTGGACAGATCTCTGAAAACCGCTTGGTCTTCCAGATCCAATTCAGCAGATGTGTAGTCACACAACACCCAGGGGAACTGAGAATACACACATGCACATGAAGAAAAGTGATGACTCTCGTAACCAGTACAATATCCAGCAACAACACGAGAATCCTGAGCATTTAGATTTTTCCGCAAAATTATTTTAAATGCATATTTACCACCCATTTAAATGTTTTAAATTAAATCTAGGGTTAATAAAATTAATTTAAAATTTTGTAAAATTTAAAGTTATATAAACATTGAAAAAAATAAATAAAATATTTAAAAAAATAAATAAAATGCATAAATAAAATTAAGCTTGAGAAGTAGGTAAGCTCCAACTTATCCACGACACAACATAGGACAAGCGGTTTGGAAAACAAAACAAAAACAAAAAATTTAACAAAAACAACTAAAAAAAAGAAAAAGAAAATAAATAGAAAATAGAAATAGAACAAATCAAATAGAAAATTTAACAAAACTAAATGAAAATAACAAAACAACGCAGAAATTAATGAAAACTAAACAAATAAAACTATACAAATAAAAACTAAACAAAAATGACAAAATAAAACAAAACAAATTGAAATGAAACAAAAACAAAAACAAAACAACAGCAATTGAAAAGAAACAAAACAAATTGAAATGAAACTAAACGAAACCAACAAAACAAAAAAATAAATTGAAACAAAATGAAAAGAAACAAAAACAAATATTTTGACTAAACGAAAACAGCAAAACAAAGGCTAGGCTCTGTAAGAACTCACCACTGGATACTGGGACAGATCATTGTATGTGCGACCAGCAATGGTGTTGAGCTGCATCAGATATTCAAAATTGGAGATCTCTCTGTAAATCCATCTCTGCAGAAGGAACAAAAATGAAAATAAACAGTTTGATTTAGAAGCTTTTTTTTTTTGTGTGGTCCTTTTAACAGGTTTTTATTGGCAGTTGATTATGAGGGTTGGGATTATAACGCAATGCAGAACCGTTTCCAATCATTATCTCCCATATAAGCACCAAGGCTCAATTGTGTCTGGAGTTTGTGTTAATCAGAATAAAATGTGTTAAACTTTGTGTCAAGTTTTTGATTCCCTACATAAATGGAAAAAAAAATTGTGCTACGAGCATTCATTCATATAGGCGTACGTGAGTCAGGTTGGAGGCTTTCAAGAGCTCCTGAGGAGAGCGAGAACCAAAGTAGAACAGATTGGGCGGCCTGAGACCCAGGATCCTGGAGTAGACTTTGTTCCGCACCTGTGGGAAAACCCAAACAAATATAAAAACACAGAGACCTCAAATGCCACCAATGCTTGCTGCCATCTACTAGGTGTCCTCACCCCCTTCCTGAAGTTGATGAAGTAGTGTGCCTGGTCAATGAAGAACAGCTCTAGTGCTGATCTCCGCAGGTTGTATCGCCTCAGGTGAACCTCCCTTAGCTGTGACAATGACCTCTTGAAATCAAACCCAATACCTGGATGGACCGTCAAAAGCATACGCATTTATAATCATGAATCATATCTTATCCAATACACTACTGGTCAAATGTTTAAAATAATAAATATTATTTTTTTTTTTTGAATGATGTCTCTTATGTTCACCAAGACTGCATTTATTTAATCTAAAATACAGTAAAAATAGAAATACTGCAAATAGTTTTTTTTTAACATCAATACTCCAGTCTTCAGTGTCACATGATTAATTCGGAAATTATTCCAATAGTTGATTTGGTGCTCAAGATATTTATATTTCAGTTTATGCTGCTTAATATTCTTGCGGAAACCGTGATACCCCAAACTTTTGAATTGTAATAAAAATAAATAAATGATTTCTTATATTCAGCAATCGTCTATTAAACTGATCAACTGGTCCGACACAAGCTGCAACTCACCTTCCTCTGTCTCCTCTTTCTCACTGCTGCCATCGTAGAAGTACAGGTGGTGTGTTGTGACCTCCAGGCGACCTGGTACCACGGCAACAATAGTGATGAGCTCACACTCCTCTGAGAGCACCAGCTTTTCCTTCTGGCTCTCCTCCTCACCCTCCTCCGCCCTGAGGAATGATGACACACACCCTGCTTAACATGCGCTCCGTCACAAAACCCCAAGCTGTTTCCAGGTACCAGAAAGGCTGAATCGTTACTCAATTGATTCATTCAAAGACACCGATTCGTTCAGGAACTAAACACAACTACACCAAGACGTGCAACAGTTGATTCTGCTTTGTTTTGGACAACGAAAATTTGAAACTAAAATAACCAGTAGTAGTAAATATGATGTACAAAAAAAAAGACACACACAAAAAAACCTAATAAACATTACAAAAGAACATAAGGAAATAGAAAAATGTAAAAAAAAAAAAAAAAAAAGTCTGAAAATACATAAAAATAAAGTATATATTAATAAATCCTATAAGATTATAAATACTAAAAAAGCACTAGTTCTGGAACATGATTTGATGAGCCACATCTGAAGACATTATAATTCGCAGATAAGTACACATAATATGGATGGAACGTCTTTATCGTGATCCCAGCCTGTATTTCCCACTGCTGTTGTGTGGACTTTATTTGTTTGTTTTTTTATTGTTCCCAGGAGTGTTTTGTTTGCCAATTACCTCTTGTGCATTTAAAACCCCATTGTTCCTTGTCGAGTCTTGTCCTACATGGATGTTATGTTTGCTGGACTAACTCTGTTTCTGGGTACTCTGTTCTCCATGTTGGATTTGTTATGCTTATTCTATTATTAAACTCAATGCATTTGGTTCCAGCTCTCCCTTGTTTTTGAGTTCACCCTGCATAACACTATAACTCGGTGGAAGACGATATTTATTCTCATTATCATCATGAATAAACTATATTTGGAAAACTGGGTGTCATATTGCTGCTGATGTTTCTAAGCCACTCAAGGAATATTTGATTTTTAAAAATGTTAAGTAACATGCTAAAAGATATTATAGTCAATTATTAAAATACTATTTTCATTCAATTGCTATTATTATATTCTATAGGTGGTTTGCAGTCACGTGATTGTGTTGACGCGTGGAACGCAGATGGAGGGCAAGGAGTGAAGAGCGCAATGGACGAGATGGAGGAAAATCCGTACTGTACTACTTTAGACGCTATTACAAGAGAAATATATGAACAGAAAATCGAAACATATGTTGGACGTGATCCTTACGTTATGAAGAGGACCGATTTTCAACTGAATTGAGAGATTTGCCTGCCATCGAGGCAGATATCAGCAACTAACTCGTCTTACAGACATACTTTGACTTTACAAAGTTCGGAAACTGGTACGTTTACACAAATAGCCACATAAGTGTATTTAAACACCTGAATAATGTAATTATAAGCCACATAAATAATGTATTAACTCACATTTGACGAAGTGATCACTGCACACACACACACACACACACACACACACACACACAGGCATTTCCCATTCGGCTCCTCCCGACCGCAGACGTAGGTTTGCAAGGCATTTTTCCCGGTGGTTTTCTGTCAATTTCTTGTATTTTCCCCCCTTATGAACAACAACTTTTGGCACACGATAAAAACTCCTCGTGGTTTGATCGATTTGAGCGACCGTAAACGACGCAAAACATAGGCATTTTGAGTGTGTTATAGTGCTTCCTAAATATAGAAATCACTTCCTGCCCTCCATCTGCGTTTCGCGCCATGGCAACGCAGTTGCGTGACGTCACGTGAAAACAAGCTATTCACATACCAATTTTTTAATAGATAAAAATATGTTCCTCAAATATTATAAGATAATTCCTTACAAGGGGTTCATCATATTTGGTGGTTCTTTGGCATCAACCAGTTTAATTGAGATCTCTTGGTTTAGATAACTTCCTTAAAGCAAAAGAGTGGACACTCTAGGAGACTCACTCTTCAAGGAAGACAAAATCCTCATCTTCTAGTTTGTCGTCCTCCATGTCACTAACTTTGGCTTCCTTGGCAACAGCAAGAGGGAGGGGTTCGGTCGAGCTGCGAGGGCTGTCGGCTCCTGCAGAAGAAAAACAGCCCAGAAATTGGTAACACAGTCCACTTTAGACATTCTACTAACTATAAGTAACTTTTCAACTACATGTCAACTAACTGTCATTAGAGTATAAGTAGACTGTCTGCTTAATATCTGCTAACACTTTATTTTGTTGGTCCCCCAACAGACATTCAACTGAGTATAAGTAACTTGGTGACTACAAGTAAACATATTCTACTAAACCGAACCCTAACACCTAACAGTCTACTGACAGTTTACTACAATATACTAATACTCTAATGAGAGTTAGTTGACATGTAGTTGAAAAGTTACTTATAATTAGTAGAATGTCTAAAGTGGCGATCGAAATAAAGTGTAACCCAGAAATTCAACATATAAACATGAACACTGAAATAACAAAGAGTTCAAGATGATTTTAAAGTATTTGTAAGTAAGGCAAAAAAACAACAACAACAGAATAATCACAATAGCCATGTACAATGACATCAAAGTCATTGTGAGATCTATTACTCCCTACTGTTTTATTCAGTATCATTTATTCATTTATTAAAACTCATTTAGCAGATTACGGGGATACTAACCCATGTTATCTCTCAGTGCACTGGCATCACTGTGAGAATCAAAGTTGTAGTTTGGCACCAGCTTCAGACGCATTTTAGAGTACGTCTCTGCACTCGACAGTTTCCATCTCACCTCTGGCTGAACCCTGAAACACAAACACTTCCACTCAGTCCATCACGCGCACCACAATATAATACTTAGATATACAGCATCAGTCTATACAACTGAACCTCACTTCAACTCAGTTTACGGTACGGTGGGGACTGGTAACCCGAAGGTTGTGGGTTCGATTTTCAATGCCGGCAGGAAATAACTGAGGTGCCTTTATGCAAGACACCTAACCCACAATCGCTCCCTGGGCGCCACAGTAAAAATGGCTGCCCGTGTGTGTGTGTTCACTACTAACGGCTCCTAACTTGGATGGGTTAAATGCAGAGGACAAATTCCGAGTAACGTTAACCATACTTGCCCTTCGCATGTCACTTTTACTTTCACACACACACATATATATATATATAAAAAGTAGCCAAGTATAATGTATACACTTCCCGACCAAAATTTTAAAAAGTCGCTGCAACTTTCATGAAGCAGTGAGTGAGTCAGTCAGTAGAGAAGAGTTTTAAATCAAAAGGACTTAAACTTGTTATGAACACGGAGAAGAAAGACTGACGGCACGGGAAACCCCCAAAACAGTTACAAGGACAAGATATCGACCGATCAGCCTGCGCAGTGACTGAACTGCTGTGTATACTACATATATACATAAATATCGATAAATGACAAATAAAATAACAAAATACTTCAATGCATCATATTCACTAAGCATCAGAAAGGCTTGACGCATGCAGACCTGAGGGCCCATGCTCCTCTCTCACTGCTCAGTAATCTACGCAGTGATTTCCAGTGCCTCCACACCATCCCCTGCTGGCCGTTAATCATCTTCTGCACAACGTGGTAGCGGCTGTTCTCGGTGCGCACTCGTTTTAGGTACGGGTCAACGATGAGCTCCTGGAAAGAGAAGAGCACAAACACTCCATGTTATTAACGCATCTATGATAACCACTTGTGTTTTGGGATGTGTAATAAACAATCCCAAGCAGTAGCACTGAAGGGTTGCTCCATGTATGGATCAAACCAGCAATCCTCTCTTTACCAGCCTAACATATTCCCTCTGTATTGGAATAACTGGAGTTAGCAGACACCTGAAACTTGGCTTTGCAGTCAGAACGGTCCTTGTCTCTTTTCTGCGCAGTGCTCATGAGGTCATCAAAGCAGGAATTCCAAAAGTTGGACATCAGGTCGTGACTCTTTCCAAAAGTGTCGAGCTCATACTGCTGCATTGTGGGCTCCACCTACAGGCACACATTTTGAAAAACATGTCACATAGTTGAAATGGATATTTTCTGCACTAAAATTTGATCGAATGAGCCATGTTTGAAGTTACTGTTAAGCAGCTACGTAATACTGGCACATCTGTGACCACATGTCAGAAATATATATTAATGTGTAAATCTCATTTTTGTAGAATTGCTTGGTAAAAATATAATATAACATAATATAATAATAGTACAAATTAATCCTTCAAATAAAAATTCATTTTATTATAAATGCTTATAATTTATTTAAAATGATTTAATAAATTAATTAATTTAATTTAATAAATAAATGCATAAAATAACTTTAAATAATAATAGACATTTGTAATATATATATATATATATATATATATTTTACATATAATTACATAAATAATACACACAATAAAATGAATAAAATTTTATTTAATTTATTATTTATTTAATTTATTATAAATGTAGACAATTTATTTACAAATATTAAAATACCTAAATATTTAAAATAAATTGTAAACATTAATAATATAATTATAATAATAAGGACTACTGATCATCTTCAATCATATTACTGTTGTTGATATTTTGATTCCTTCATTCATACTGAAAATGTATTGTACTGTATCAACCTTCAAAAAACAAAGTTAATGAACACAACACATTTTTATGCTGGACAATCAAAACAAACATTTCACTCTCTTGCTTTAAGTCCCGATTTAAGGCATGGTAATATACCGTGTGATTTGTATAAATGAACAGTCCAAACAGGGTAGATTTATAACCACACAGTCACACTCCAGCCTTCATAAATCTCCTTTAGGTCACTCTGCCGTGATGTCTGTTTCATTTAAACGCATGGTTTGTTTTGGATTTCTGAGATGAGGCGAATAAATCTGAATTTTTCTATCTTGTTTTGGCACTGGATGAACAAAAGGGTCTAAATAAAGAGTTCATCACTACAATGGAAGCGGATTAACCGTCAAAGTGCCCTCATGCTAAAACAAACACACGTCCACTGAGTAAGTTATTCACTGTTTTAGAGAGAGGAGTCTACAGCTCGAACAGCTTTAGGTGAATCAAAGGTGATTATATAATATGTAATAAATGTGAAAGAGGGTATGGGTTATATCAACCTAAAAAAGTGCTTTAATCCTTCACAACTGAGCTTATCTCGTGTTTGACTGAGAATGAGGGCTGAGAGACTTATTCTTGTCGTTCTGCATCCAAAAAAGGTCAAACAAAAAGGTTTTGTGGTAACATATACTGACACAGAGAAGCTGCCAGCTTATCATAAGGTAAACAGTCTAACTGGGTGTCTGCTAGGCTGTGTGTGTGTGTGTGTGAGGAAGATGTGGCTGTACTGACGTGGTTCTGGAAGAATTGCTGCCACTCAGCAGTGCTGCAGTAGTTCTGGAGGTCCTGGGCGAAGGAGGGGCTGCCGTTGGTGGCGGGGAGGTTGGGGAGCAGATTCTGAAGGGTGGTGCGTTCCGCATGCTGGTCCAAAAGCGTTCGGACGATGGGCACCAGCGGGCTCAGCAAAATCTCGGTGCCTGGGTCTGAACCAGTGTTTGCTGGCCAAAGTGGTGCACCAAGACGACCCAGCAGAAAACACACCTCCTCCCAGGACAGACATAGCACAGTTTGCAGCAGGCTATGAAGCTTTAAACGTGCCATCTCACACACCTAAGGAGACAAAATTGTAGATGTTACATGTTACTGTCATGATTTTGGGGTTGTCTGTGTTAATTGCCTTTTTCCTGTCAACATTAGGCTTTTATTTTGACATGTGTATTGTGAAAGTATTTTGAATATGATCAGAATGGCATACAATCATATTACGCATTATTCCTGCACTATATTCTACACTACACTACACGCTGATTTCATGCAGCCGTCATTTTGAAATGGCTGCGGTGGGAAGAAAACCGGAAGTGTCGCTTTAAATCATAGGAGAGTCGCGAATGTGATGGCGAATTGTTGTGTTTAATGTAGAAATTTGTTATTCTAAAAATGTACATACATTTTTTTCATACTTTAGACTATATACAGTGAAATTTATACATTTATAAATACATTTTTTAAATATATATTCAGAACATAAAAAAGAAGCAGGAACGAACTATATGCATATCCTATATTGGATATTAACATCTAATAGTTTAAATCGCGGCAGCAGCTTCAGGTTGGTAGTCCAAGACATTGTTGTCTATCTGTACTTCCGGGATTCTTCCCACCGAGAACCGGAATAATAACTTATTACATACTGCAACAGAATATAATTTGTTAATGTTATGCTCTGTATACTATTCTATACTACAATATATTTTGCTATATACATAGGGTGACCATACGTCCTCTTTTCCCAAACATGTCCTCTTTTTTGCCAAAAATGTCCGGGTTTCAGTGCTTTCTACAGTCTCCATTCATTGTGTGCATTTTTGCACGCCACCACTGGTGTGTCAGTCATTTACGTAATGCAGACATTGGTCAAACTGCATTTCAATCATTGGCCTCAGCCCCATGAAAACAGCCAAGAGACAGAGCAGTGCTTGCTTGTTAACAGTGGCACATGGCTCCTACACAGCATAAAAAAAAAGCCCAGATGTAAATTCATAGATGATTTACAGAGAAAATCTCCATTTCGTCTCGTTGAGATCCGTGTGAACGCATGACCTGCAAAGCTGGCCTACATAAGGGAAGTATACCAAAGATCATTTGGACTGAAATCATTTTTTACTGAAATAGTGTTTTTTTATGGCAACTGATTTTTTTTATACTATTTTAACCTGTGGCCATGAAAACATGTAATACACATGTGCATGGCGTCATCGTTTTCACAGGTTTTGTTTATGGAGACCGTTTTCAAAAGTTTGCGTTTTCAGGCATCCAAACGAATGACCAAAACGCATACAAAATCTTCAATTTTTAGTTGAAAACAGTGTAATGTAAATTGCCCCTAAGTTTATGCGTTTCTGTTCTTTTTTGTTGTCCGGTCTTGTCTTTGTTACGGTTGTTTCGTTTGCATTTTTATTATCTTCAGTGTGGATTATTAAAGCATTTTGAACCTGATTCCGTCAGCTTTGTGCGTTTGTATACAGCTAAGTTGTGACAATGCACTTTTATAAAATACTGAGATGACCTTTGTTAACAGGTATTACTGCGCAGGGTACTGTTTCCCACAATGCCTTGCATTTGACTTGTCAAGTTTGACGAGTTAACAAGAGAATGCCAGCCTTGATCATTTGATCGGCTTCCAGCAATTTAGAAACTCATACAAATTGATTATTGATGACACAACTATGGTTTTATTTCCAAGACATGGATGCCATTCACTTTAAACAAAACAAGCGATGCGAAAAAGTAAAGTGACAATGTAGCATACTACGAGTTGAAGTGCTTATCACTGCAAAATGCATCCCATCTTATATTAAAACAACAACAGGGAGTATATAGTACACAAGATGCCGTTCACAATAAGCTATTACTCCTTTCTGAACATGCACAGCATCTAAAATCACATTTTAACTGCATGAATCTCCAAATGAATGTGCACACCTGTGTCAGTCTTGTTTATCTACTCATGTTTGCCTCTTATGTTTGTCTAAAGGTTTATTTCTGAAATACAGCTTTCACGGTGAGTGGCACTTGGTTGACTATACTTATTATAGAGTTCCTGTGAGCACAGCAGCTCTGAGCTCATATGCTGAGCCATTTTAAGGATGCATCTATGCTTGTTCATTTATTTTTTTCGATGCAATTATTGATTGATTCTATGAATGCCTTTTGGTCAAAAATAAAGTGTCCCTATTATGCTTTTTTTTTAAATCATACCTTTTACCTTTTCACAAACAACCAATTTTTTGAAATTAAGAAACATTATACTAAAGGAAATATTTACAAGCTTAGTGCTGTATAAACAGACAACCTGAAAGGAACAAACATGTTCATGAACAGCAGACTGAAAGAAGCACATGTTTTCCTGAACTGCCCAACAGCAATTCAGATCCTCAGTCAGTTGATATGATCTAATTTGAGTGTGGGATGGGTTTGAGTAAGTCTGGAGAAAAACGATAAAAAACCCCCGCACATCTCCATATACGGACATCTGCTCTCCATTGGAATGAACTAAAGCTACTTACAAAAAAAAAAAAAAAAAAAAAGAAAAAAAAAGCTCTAAAGTACAAAAGCATTTCTAATAATTCTGAACATAACCATGGAAAATGTGTGTAAGTTTTAACACTCCACCTGAGAAAGGGAGTATAACAAATTTCAACACCATCATTTATTTTATTTAGTTTTGTTTGACACTGTCATAATAATCATTCAGTTCGTCCCACATAATCAGCTAATAAAAACACATATGTAAATGTCAAAGAACAAGAATTTTATAAAACAACCCTGGAATCCCTGGTTTATCTAGTAAGATGTGTGTACCTGTGGGTTCTGCTGCTGCTGAATGTATCCAGTGATGATACGCAGGCCAATCAGAGACATCTCTTTGAGCTCAGCAGACCCGGCTGACCCTGGGGTCGTGTGCCACGCCTGCAGCCTGTCCAGCAGATTTACCACCCCTTCAAAGATCTGCCACGAATACAGACACACTCTTATGGTCATTCAAAAATTAACATATTCTTTACAGTAAAAAAGCAACACCAGAAGAAAGTTTCCTTAAAATGAATTATTTATATCATATATATGATTATACAGTATGAGATTATATGTGAGTGGCATGATGTGCTCATATTGTCTCACTACCCAGATCCTTACAAGTTGTGTGTTATACGTTCAAAGGTTTAGGATCAAATGTTTAATATATATATATATATATATAAGCAATTCATACTTTTAATCAGCACTGATGATGCAGTAAATTGATTGAAAGTGACATTGTTTTTTTTAATTATATTTACAATGTTATTTATATTTCAAATAAATGCTGTTCTTTTGAACTTTCTATTCATCAAAAAGAAAATAAAAAAATCACAGTTTCCATAAAAATATTAAACAGCCCAACTATTTTCAAAATTGTGGATCATGTGACACTGAAAAGTGGAGTAATGATGCTGAAAATTCAGCTTTGCCAAATGAATAAATTTTAACATATAAAAAGTTATAATACATTGTAATAATATTTCACTATATTATTGTTTTTATTGTATTTTCCAAATTGGATGTGTGTAGTGTGAACATACTGTGAGTATGAGAGTCTGTGAGTTATAAAATCAATTCTAACCTTCTCACTCCATAGTGTTTGATTGTCAGTGCCCTCGGCGAATAGGAAGTCCTGGAGCAGTCTGAGGAGGCGGAGCAAAGAAGGCACATGGTGCAGAGACACGCCCTGAGAGTCCCTCAAATCTGACAGAGACGACTCCAGCATCATCTCCAACAGACTACAACACACATAAGACACATGAGGCATCTGTACCACCCCCACCAGCTTATAATGTTTGTTATTCACAGCCACAAAACAAAGACAATATCATTTCTCTCGAATAAGTCATCAGACAGGCACGCCCTAAGACTTAAAGTAAAAACAAGCTCTATGCTGATGCAATGCTGAAGCCACACCACAAAAAGCAACAGCCCAGTAGCGCAAAGAACTTCTGCCCTCCAGAGATCCCCGCCCTGCCCTCACATGAACCAAAGGAATCTAGAAAACGCTTTAATGTACGGTACCTCCCTTCAGCTTCTGAACTCTCCTGGATTTCAATTCTTATAATAGGGGCCATTTGCAAGAGGCAATAATATGCCTTGATTTTGTTTCTGAGGTCAGCTAGAACAGGTTTTCATGCTTGAAAACATGTTTTTTCAAGCACCAATCTTCTCTCTCTTCTCTTTCTTCGGTCAGTATTGTGTCTCTTCCCAGTTTAGTTCTTGTGTCTATGAAACTCCTCATAAAAAGAGCAATATGCTCTGATTGGCTGGGTAGACCATTGTGTTGTGATTGGTCAACCGCTTCGAGCTTGTTTCAGAAATGCCAATGAGTTTTATCACACTACTAACGCAACCTCATCCCCTTCTTTGTGTAATAATTATAAAGAGGAATATTGTGACATTCGTTCCTAAAAAAACTACAATCGAGCTAACTGCTAAAGAAAACAACTTGCTTTGGATGCTCAAACAGCATCATTACACACTAAAGAAAGGTGAAAATGTAAAAAAAGCACAACAGGTCCTCTTTAAAACAAGATTTACAATGTATAAAACGAAAAAACACCCATCTCTGTGCAACCAGTAGTATACATAGTATTTTATTATCAGATTTCATCAAAAATATCTTAATTTGTGTTCCGAAGGTGAACAAAAGTCTTATGGGGTTGGAACAACATGAGGGTGAGTAAATACTGACAGAATTTTGAGTGCCGCTTCCTTTTACAGTACAGAAGTTACCTAGAAAGCAGTGGCTAATATAAGGTAAGTACATGGGTTAGGGTTAGGGGTAGGTTCACGGTTAGTACCTAGTTATTACCCAGTAATTGTAATTACTACAACAAGTACATAGTATGTACATGGGTAACAGGACTGTAAAAGTCTGTCTTCTATATTTCTGTTAATCTGTACTAGTGACAGATCATTTCATCTGTATTGTGATGTACATCTATTTCTGTTTTATCGCAACTTTAACGTCTTTGGCGCATCTCTCATCAAGCTACACAACTTGAGGTATCAGATGCAAAATTTAAATACTTTGTTTTTTTGTTCAAAGTTCATTCAGTTTCAAAAGGTTAAATCTTCAAAATGCAATCAGTCTGAACATCAATCAGTCTGGGACATTACAGTTAATGCAACATTTAAGTTCTACGTTTCTGACCTGCGTTTGATGTCGTCAGGTGGCCGCACCAGTTGGCAGGACGAGCCAAGTTTGGTAAGGACCGAGAACACCTGACCCCTTTCTCTCCACATCACATCCTCAGATCCCTCAGTGCCACTCCACAGCACAGAGAATACGATGTTTGTCAGCAAATTACACAACTCCTCCTCTGGAGCCTAATGGGGGGATAAAGAGGCACGTTTTTAGCTATCAGAGTAATCAAATTATCACATAGTTTGACTCATGTGTGTTCTGAATGGATATTAGCACATTATTATGAGGTTGCTGGAGGAGTTCTGGGTGGATGCAAGATGGTTACCAATTTGCCCATTTCAAAAGGGCTTAAAAAAACAGGTTACACCAGCCTAGGTTGTGTGCTGGTCTTGAAGCCTGGCCAGTCTTGTCTAGCTAGTCTGTTTTTTCCAGCATGGTCAAGTGTCCATGATATCCTGCTCCCTACACTCTGGTACATCCTTTAATTATTGGGTTTCAGTCCAAGTATTTTATTTTATTATTTGCAAATTTTAAACACTGAAAAAGTAACTAGGTTTACTTATATCATGCTTTTTACTTTGCTTTTTATCTGGTCTATAATTATGCCCTGCTTTATTATCCTGTTTCAGCGTGTAAATCCCAAATTTACCCCGTTAACCTGTATTTCTTACATTATTTTACTAATATAGTCCACTGAAAAGACAAATAAGACAACTTGTGTAGTGGATGTGCTGTAGATACCATATTCATTCAGTGTTAAGCTGTGGGATTGAATGTGTGTCCTCGATAATGTCCGCTATGATTTTGGACTTCAGCACAAATGGCTTTCCCCTTAAAGGGATAGTTCACTTTGAAATTAATTTTTGATATGTTTTAGCTTACCTCAAGGGCATCCGAGATGTGGGTGTCTTTGTTTCCACAGTATTTTCAATTTTGTTATTTTTTGGGTCAAACCGTTCTTGTCTGTCAGTCATATACAGTAATGCAGGTATATGGGGTCCACCTCGAAGAGCATGCACAGCGAAGTCCAAATTAAACATGATTTAATGACTCGTAAATGTAAGTACACACTGATGGCCTAAGACACGAAACGAGCGGTTTGTGTGAGAAAACGAACAGTATTTATATCGTTTTTACCTCTTGTAACCACAGTCACGACCAACCGTGGCCGCGGGCACTTCGGTCTGCATAAGCGCCATGATCTCAACGTTTGAAAAAAAAAATTCAACGTTGTCTGTTGATCTATCAATATCGTCTACCATAGCGATTTCCTTTATATCTAAATATGTTTAGATCTTCACAGTGAAAGGTCACGCTTCCGAAATCTCTGTGTAAACAATAAGTGCCGTACACGTGCAAGATTTCACTTCCGGCACTTGCACAGACCGAAGCGTCCACGCCCTCAGATCACTTGGACATGGCTGTGGTTTCATGAGCTAAAAACAATAAAAATACTCTTCATTTTCTCACACAAACCGCTCGTTTCGTGTCTTAGGCCGTCAATGTGTACATACATTTACGAGTCATTAAATCATGTTTAATTTGGACTTCTCTGTGCATGCTCTTTGAGGTGGACCTTATATACCTGCATTATATGACTTACAGACAACAACGGTTTGACCTAAAAATATCAAAACTGAAAATACTGTGGAAACAAAGACACCTTCATCTTGGATGCCCTTGAGGTAAGCTAAAACATATCTAAACATATTAATGTCAAAGTGAACTATCCCTTTAAATAGTGTATGGGGGTGATTTCGGACACCGCCAGGGTGTTCAGCATGTACCTGTGGGTTGGATGTGTTGGAGATGGTGTCTGTAGGTGGATCAGTGCTATAGCTTGTGTCATCCAGAATGTTGGACAGACTGGAGCTCTTGCGTGGTCTCATGCCTGGGAAGGTCTTATTGTGCTCCAGAGGAGAAGGGGTCTCTGGCTGGCTACCCACAGGGGTCTGAGGTCCCTTTTGGATTTCCAACTCAAAGGGCGAGCTGAAGGGCGAGAGAGGCTGATACACACTTTCCTCTTCCTCTAGCAGGCGGGACGATGATGGAATGTCCACGGTGTTGGAAAGGGAGGACGAGCGACTGCTTTGTTCTCCAGAGTCAAATGGCTTGAAGTGGAGGGAACCGTTCCTGAGTTGTTTGGTTGACGGGGGAGACTGGGAGAGGTCAGAGTAGCCCTCGGACACATCCTGAGTTTCTCCTTCTTCCTCCTCATACTCCTCTTCATGGTGGGCATTGAGGGAGATGTAGACGTTCTGCCGATTGTCCTCCGTTACGCTGTCCTCGCGATGGAAGACGGGTCTGGAAAGAACAGGGTCCAGCGAGGTGGTGGGGCTGGATAAAGGATTGGATTGACTGCGAACGCGAGACTCGTACGATTCTTTGACGTAGAGTTTGGTGAGAACATCCTGCCAGCCTGATTGACGAGCGAGCTGCTTCACATACTCTTCATTAGAGTAGATCAAGTGGAAGAGCTACGGGAATGAAAGATGAAGACAGAAATGTTCATTCATTCATATAGTAATTAGGCATTTAGATGAGTATGTTTAGAAATAGTGCATATTTAAAACTGCAAAACTAAGCCTGTCACAGTGTTATATTTTGCAAGGGAATCTATATTGTTAGATGGAATGTATCTTCCATTAAAACGTGTGAAATACCTGAGTTACTTCGGCGGCGTGAACTTGATGAGATGAATTGCCGAGTGAGTCAAATGTTGAAATGGTAACTATGCTTTTTTTTTCTTTTTATTGTGATTTTTTGTTCTAGCTAAACAAAATAACCTTTCTTAAACAATTAAGGTCAGGAAACAAGCAAAACTGCTAGAAAGCTTGTTAACCACAAAGGCTAACTGAAAGCACAGTCTTAATTATGATATATTGTTCTAAATGATCAAAATAGCTTTTCTTAACCAGTTATCGCTATGCTAAGGTGGTAGGGCTAGCAAGTTTGCTAACCAAAGGTTAACTGACAAACACAAAGAAAAAAAAAAGCTACAACACCTCTTAGAATACCCTTAAAAAAATTAACAATGGTTTTACAACAAATACTCCTACAGTATGGTTAAACCATGGTTTGTGTAGCAAAACCATATTTTTTTTTTTTTTGGTGGATTGATTAATATTTGTATAAGCACAGTTTTACAACAAATACTCCTACAGTATGGTTAAACCATGGTTTGTGTAGCAATTCAAAACCATGTTTTTTTTTTTTTGGTGGATTGATTAATATTTGTATAAGCACAGTTTTACAACAAATACTCCTACAGTATGGTTAAACCATGGTTTGTGTAGCAATTCAAAACCATGTTTTTTTTTTTGGTGGATTGATTAATATTTGTATAACCACAGTTTTACAACAAATACTTCTACAGTATGGTTAAACCATGGTTTGTGTAGCAAAACCATGGTTAATTTGTGGTAAACAATGGATACTACAAATAAAACCAAAGTTAAATTTTCATTTTCAGCATTCACTCACCTTGCGACAAATATCTAGTCGGACACTAAGGTCGGCGCGATGGGACAGATACACCACTGCCAACAGGTCTCTAAAATTAGGATTGGGATCTGCACAAAACAGACAACAAAACAGACCAATCAACATCTGAAGCATAAGATGAAAACTACTGCCCACCTTTTCTTCAGTTTACCTGTGGCGAGCACTTGCTCATACAGACAGCGCACAGTTGCCATGGTGATGGGGACGTCTCCAAAGGAGCAGACCAGCCCAAGGTAACTGGAGTCCTTAAGTTTGATGCGCAGTTTATTGCGCTCAGGTACACGCTCACTCTTCAGGACTTTATACATGACCTGCAGAATAGCAGAGGAGATGTGTTAATATCACAATGAAAGAAACTGATCTCATCTTAATGATTTAAATGATTTTGTTTTCACCCGGAATAATCTCTCACGAGCCTCGTCGCCATAGTTGTGTTTGAGCATCTGACAGTAGAGCTGCTCCACCCCTCGATCCAGAAGAACCGTCACAGTCTGCTCACGTGGATGAGGAGAACTCCTCAACACAGTGTATAACACATCCAGAATACTGATCAACTACAGACAGACAGAGAGAGAAAGAATATTCAGTCAAGACTCTATGAGCTCTATTCCTACCTGAATATTTTTATAATACTAAATGAAGAAAAAAATCTTTATTTTTACTTTTCACTGTAATAACAGTTTAAGAATTTGTCTTATAATGTTCAGTAAAGTTCAGTAATGTATTTTTCCAAAGTAAAATATTAAACTCACAGTGACAAAGCTAAATGTTGTGTCAGAGTTATTTTAGTAACAATGACAGTTTTTCTTAATATATTCAATTCGATTTTTTCTATTGTATTTTTAATTAAAGTTTTTAATAATAATTTTTAACATTGTTTTTAAAATAGGTATGTATATTTTTTGTTCGTTTATTTTATTTTTTTTATTTTATTTAGTTTTAGTTATTAATTTTAGTACTTTAACTTTAAATAAGAAATGTTGCCTTGGCAACTAGCTGAAATATTCCATATTTAATTTAATATTAACTTATTTCAAATAGTGGAAATGTTTTCAATGGTTTTAGTTTTAATTAATGATAAATGTGCAATCCATGGCATGCCAAGCAATTATTTATGGGTCAGTTTGATCCTCTTTATAAAAACCTGTGGTGGTCGTTCAAAATTTTTATATTTTCCTGATCCTATGAAATTGACATTTCTGAGAAATACTTTTATACTTGAATAATACAGAATTATTATTATTTTTTATTGAATAAATCTACAAACAATATATTATTATTATGCATTCTAGGGTTAAATATATTCCATTGGTTGAGCAAATATAGTCCCGCCCCAAAAATAGCACCATTGGTCGATTTAATGTGTCAGGCTGGTTGAGATACTCAAATAAACAATGATCTGACACAAACAGACACCATTTACTCTTTTCAGGGAGTCAACCTACCAGTGTCTGACTACTAACAGCTATTTTTCTGTCTCTTATGAGTTTCCATGGGAGTTAATATACTGCTTTTGAAGGCAGCAACAGATCAGTACACTTTAAAACAGAGCTAGTGTGGTTCACCTGTTGTTCGTCCTGCACTATAGCAGCGTAGGCTAGTACACTGTGCAGCTCCTCAGCAGTGGGAGATTTCAGAAGGTCCTTCAGCAGAGAGAAAAGAGAGATCTGCACCGTCCGCCTCTCTTCAGACAGAGGACTGCCGTCCTTCTCCGCACTGTCGACCCCCCAAAAAGTATAAACATCTTACATTAGCATCACATGTTTCATTTTTACTTGGATCTATCACCAAAATCATAATAGTACAATTTAAATATGAACGCACCTGTAGTGTGACCGAATCGAGTCCAGGATGTATTGAACACCGTACCTCTTGCGCGTTTTTAGCTTGCCTTCATTGATGACAGTGGTTAGGTACTGCACATGACCTACAAAGCAACATAAATTCAGAGAAAGGGGTTTGGAATGACATAATCGGGTAAATAATAACAGAAGTAAACTATACCTTTAGGACCTGATTGTTATTTGCATTTAATGCCAAACAGTTAAAAAACAATGGTTTATGCTATTGTGATGTGTCGTGGTTTGTTGATGTGTTTTTTTTTACCCAGACAGACAGCAAAGTGGCTGTGGCTCCAGATCCTGAAGTCAAAGAGCAGGTACTGGTACAGTTGTGATAGGAGGGCGTTGTTGCCCTCGTTGGACACCTGCTTGAGCAGGAACTGACAGGCCATCAGAACACTCATGTCCATCATACTGCTGGGGACCTGGAAAAGACAAATACGATTAGAAAGTGTTTGTAGCCATCCATCAATTTGTATTCAAATGAACTAAAGTGATTTCTGAGAAATTGAAATCAACACCTTAACAAACAATTTTGTGAATATTTGCTAGATGTGTGTTTGGTGTGTTTCTATATCTGTTTACACCTGGCCACTTCATGCGTTTTCTCAGATCGGACAGCTATCTAATTTATCAAAACGATTCCATTTACACCTGGTCACATAAATGTGTTTTTGCAAAACGGATATAAATCCGATCTTCGATTCCCGCGCTATATGCGGATTTAATGAAGTGCACGTCACCGAAAGCAACAGATATGAGCTTCACTAATTTCAAAATCAGCAAAGACGGAGAGAGCGGCAACAGAACTGGTAAGGTCACTTTTAATGAAGATGGTAGTGTTAATCGTCTGCGACTTACTTTCACTTTGATTTGCGATAGAATGCGGCGCGTTGGCTTGATAGGCTTTCACTTGCTCATCTGAGGTGATGCGCATCGCAGTAGCGTCGTCATATCTGACTATAACATGACATATAGCCTGTAACACGCTCTCACGCGTTTATTTTTAGCATTTTTGGAAGTAGTAACATTTACATATGTGGTTTCAAGAACCAGATGCATTTACACTTGTCAAGTTTCGTCTGGAATGCGGCCCAGACCACCTCCTGAAGTGGTTTGAGAGATCGGATTGAAATCCGTCTCGAATGCGTTTCGGGGGGCATTTACACCTGGTCTTTTCATGATCGGATAGCTATCCGATCACAGAAAACGCCAGGTGTAAACAGCCCCTAAATGGGAGGGAAAAAAACCCCAATGTAGATTGGACCGATCTGCAGAACACCAAAACATTCTTATAGCCAATCATCAATAGGGGGCGTGTACTCTTATGATGGGGGAGGAGAAAGAGTGAGCAAGGGGGAGATTTGTAGAAAGACTGTAGAAAGAGAGATGGCTGAGAGACATTACAAAAGAGGAGGTCAGAGGAATAAAACTGGAAGAAGAATGGTAACAATCAGGCAAGAGCTTTAGGGCTGAGCAATGAAGGGAGGGGTGCGTTTGTCTTGGCGTCAATTTCAAATATCAACATTGTTTCTCAGAAATCGCTTGCGGCACTTTTAAATGATATAATGATTTACTGTATCACATTACATATATCAATATTTGCAGAGAAAAGCATCCAAATATTTAAAAATATCTGGTTTATGGTTCAATGAAACATGAGACACATATGTTGCATAGAGTCTCAATTCAATCTTGAAAAAAAAAAAAATTATTTTAATATATTTAAAATGCTAATTTATTCCTGTGATAGCTATGCTGTATTTTCAACATCATTAGTCTTCAGTGTCACATGATCCTTAAGAAATCATTTCTAATATGCTGATTGAGTGCTCTGATGGTAGGAAAACTATTTTTTAACTACTTAACATATGTATGAGGAGGCTTGCTAAGATGTTTTTTTTTTTTGCATTATACTTTTTTATATAATTTTGGTATATAGCATGAAAAAATGCTGAATGGAAACACCAAGATGCTCACAAATTCTAAAAATGTTTATAAAAAAAAAAACCATATACGCTCAAATGACAAAAAAGTGTCAGAATGGCATAACGGCCTCCCAAAACTGCCTCACATGATTGTGTTCCCAAACACCAAGCATCCGAATGCAAGATACGTAACATGACAGCCTTTATTGGATTTTGCCTGTGCTCTCGAAGTCATTTATCCCTGATTGCAGCAACTTCCACTTTTATTACAGATATTTTGAACCAATTTCCCAGGAATTAAACTTTTTTTTTTCCTCTTAAACCCATGGGAAGGAAACAGTGCTTTATTCACAAATATTTTATGCGATATTCCAAGTTAAATTCGGAACTTTGGATGGAAACATAGCTATTGATAATGATAATACATTTTCCTTAAATACAAAATCAGCATGTTAGAAATGATTACTTAAGAATCACGTGATACTGAAGACTAGAATAATGATGTTGAAAATGTAGCATAGCTACAGTATCACAGGGATAAATTAGCATTTTAAATATATTAAATATAAAAAATAGTTTTTTTTTTTTGGTAATAATATTGTAATGATATTTTACAATATTAAATCGTTTACTGTGTATTTGATCAAATAAATGCAACCTTGGTTAAAAACATTTAAAACCACAAACTTTTGAATGATAGTGAAAACTCAAGAAACTCTCTTCAAAGGACTTCACAGGCCTGTCAAGTCACAGTACATCCGATGTCGATTAGATACGACTTTTAATTCTGTGGAACAATATAAGCCACAGCTGAGCCTAATGTTCTGCAGCAGATCAGCATCTGTTTCTATCAACTTCAGCTGCTGTTTAATTACATGCTGTATCATTTTCACTTACAGTATCAACTTCTAATCAAACTAACATACTAATATCAACTATGCTGCTTTTCTTTATAATGATTATGTTAAATGTCACACAGTAGTTTTATTGTGCTGTTTTGCTACACACATGAACTCTTGATTTGAATGCATTTACGCCAGACGTTCAAACACTGCTTGGTAATTTCTTGAAAGATTCCTGGCATCAGATAAAACCTTAAAGCGTGTGAAACTGTGGTTGTGTGTGTATTGTGCAATATCATGAGATTGTTAGCACAAGTGTTTCCTAACAGGATGCTACGCCTTGAAGACACTCTTAGACCTCCAGACACCCTCTCTATTGACCAGCGTGTATGTGTGTGTGTACCTTGCCGAGCATGGCTCCGATGATGGGCGGCCCGTGGCACTGGAGCAGACTCTCCTGATTGGCCGGGTGGTTGCGCAGCATGTTCTTAATCATCAGCAAAAACGCTGCCACACTGTTCTTCTCTAAACGGCCCTCTAACACACACACACACACACACACAAAAAACATCAGCAATTGATTTTATATCAGTGAAGTGCAACATTGACAAATAACTGCAACAGCCGCATTACATGAGAAATTAACAGCCAAAGGAAATATAAAGTTTAATAACAGAACAATGTTGCCTTCAGCCTCTTACGCAGGCATATACACACGGAAAACACAACTACAGGAATCACTAACGCAGATCAAAAACAGCATGCTCAGAAAATATCAATGGTGACTCATACTGCAAATACAGACAATTTACATCATCAATGTACCTCAAAGAGCAACATAACAAGCTGTTAATGGTTCATTCTGACATGCTGCAGACTTCCATTAAAATAAGTTCGATTATTCAAGGACCCTTAATATATTTTTTCATTGTGACATTATTTAAATGAGAATTACAGTTTTTCTCAGTCGCTTTGGTGCATTTCTCACATCACTATATACATTTGCACAACAGTTAGTTCAACCTCCACAACTTTTTGTCATTTGTGCACATCCTAGTAGCAGTTTCTCATTCCTTCCAACAAATTGCAAATGCTTTTGGTATGCATCAATTGCTTTCATACAACTCACTGCTGTTTTATAACATTATCATTTGCTTATGTCATATCAGTCCAAATTAATTATATACTTGTGAATGCTGAATAGTCATTCCATATAAAACTAATAGTCCTCATTTCATTGCTTGAGTCATCATACAAAAATGTTGAACTAGTTGTCAAAATCCGTCAAGCAAATTTTTTTTATCTTAAAAAAAAAACCCTTTTTTATCCTAAATTGAACAATTTCTCAGGTGAACCTTAGCTTTCACTGATGAGAAGAGATGTGCATGAATGATTTACATGTATGTTGTATGTTCCGTTCCAATATGTACTGTGATATTGTTTACAGTTGTGCACCGATCTACCCAAAGGGAGTTTACAGTATGTTTGTTGTAAATAAGGGTGTATTTTTTTCTTTTGCACAATGCTCTGAACAAATTAGAATTGCAAAGACCATGCAGTAAAAATGTGAAACATACATATTCAGTGTCTTGTACTCAATTACTGTACCTCCCTAAATACAGTAATGTGAAACTTTACTGCAGTTTTCAAATGGCTGTGCAAATAGTTTATAGGACTGTCTTGAGCATTTTCAGGTATAGTGACACCAAGATCTGACTTTTTTTGCATTGTCAAACACTTACAGAGTAAACTGTCATAATGAAAACATGACAAAGCCATTTGACTATCTTGTTCATAAACACTGGTGTTAGGACTTTTCATCTTGATGACACTGACACTTTCAATGACATGAATACTTGCTTTTGATGAATGAGTTATCCATTTTGAGCAAGTGACACACTTTTGCAGGTTATCAACTAAGTTTTGCAGTTTGTACTAATTGTTTTGAGAACTGCATTAACCGTTGTGCAAATGTAAATAGTGATGTGAGAAATGCACCAAAGCGACAGAGAAAAACTGTAAGTTGAATGAAATTTTGCAATGATATTCTAAATTCTAAGAGTTTCACCTGTATTTATGTGTAAGTGTGTTTTCACAGACAGACAGACAGACAGACAGACAGACAGACAGACAGACAGACAGACAGACAGACAGACAGACAGATAGATAGATAGATAGATAGATAGATAGATAGATAGATAGATAGATAGATAGATAGATAGATAGATAGATAGATAGATAGATAGATAGAACTGACCAGATGACTTCCCCAGTGGCAGCAGCATGCCGGCAGGACCCCTGGAGGACGTGAGCTCTGGCCCGATAAGATCTGAAGTCTCCTGACCACCAGTCTCGCCCTGATCCAGTAAACATACTTGCTCCAACAGGGGCAAAAGAGCCCCCATCCCACCTACTGAGCTCAGCACATCCTACACATTATACAAGATAATACAACTTAATTAGCAATTCCTTGTCCTGCAGGGATCTGTGAGCATAAGGTGTTGAATACACATAAACTCTGGTACACACAAAAGGCCGTACTGGTGTTGGGAAAAGATAAATCGTTCTGATCTTAAAAGACAATAAAGCTCATTGACAGACACATACTTTGACATCCCAGTTGACCACTCTGTGACCAGTCAACCTGCCATCGTACAGATGATTCGGGGACAGATCCAAGCAGATCTGACTCTTAAAGGCCTACAAGATAAAAGAATGTGGGAAATTCTTAGACATAAGGCTAGTTGAAGAGTTCAGATGCAAAAGCCTCTAAATGCCATTTGAAATTTTCTTCTTTAATGATGATTTTTGTCAAACTTGTATATTTAAGTTCAGTAATTTCACTTAAATAACAATTAATAGGTAATTATCATTGCCATTTAAGTGAAATCACTGAACTTAAATATACAAGCTTGATAAAAATGATCATTCTAGAAGAAAATTTCAAATGGCACTTAGAGGCTTTTGCATCTGAACTCTTCAGTTATATATCTTATAAATTAAGACTTTTGAACCTAACTTTATATTATATTTATTTTATATTACTATCATTATAAATATACAAATCAGGTGTATGTATCAATGAGAAGATAATTACCTGTGGGGTATAGTATAGCACTAGTTTACTGTTGACTTCTGACGGCTCACCATCAGCTTTGAAAAGAGATACGTTATTGGGTCCTGAAAAGTAGAATGAGAGAAACAGAGACAGAGATATTTGACACTCGTTTCTTTGTGGTTGGAGCTGTGAATTAACGCTTTATAGGTAGGAATGTCTCATTCATACCTGCAGTGAACAAGGCTCGTGCCTGAGCAGGCTGCAGAGCTTCATGGCAGATGAACGCCGTGGCTAAAAGACCACCCAGTGATGTAGGAGAACCCCATGCCGTGTCCTGAAGCCCTGCAGGGATGGTGTGGACGGAACTGTCACGACTCAAACCTGGCCTCCCCCCTGTGGCTGCTGCAAAGGATGCTGGGAAGGACTGGGAGCGTGCAAGGGTAGGCGGCCCAGTGTGAGCTGCAAATGCCATCTCGGAGGGCGAGTGGGAAGGGTTGGTCAAGGTTGGAGAGGTAGTCATAGTGGTAGTAGTCCGGTGTCCAGCTGACCCAATGCAGCAGGAAGTGAAAGGCTAAAACGTTGAAAGTCAAAAAGACCAATAAAATAAAACTTGGTGATTAAAAACAAAAAAAACTACCGCAAACAATAAAACTTACCTCATTAAGAGAAGGAAAGCGCAAGGGTGCTGTTTTACAGAGCTCTCCATCCACATAAACAGTGACCACATTCTGTCCAAAAGGTCGACGGCCAGGAACGTGAACTATGGCGACTGAGTGCTAGGGTGAGAAAAGAAGGTTGAGAATGAGAACTTTACAGTGTTGTTATTGTTAACTAAAACTATGAAAAATAATTTTCTGTAATTGAAATAAATGTTGCCTTAGCAAATGACTGAAAATATATTTTCTAAGTTTAAATACTAAAATAACTAAAACTGCTATTCTCTTACGAGAGGTTCTCTCGTATTGCGTAAGTTAGCTTACACTACGGGAGAGATTCAGCTTTGAGATATTGAAGTAAAAATAATATTATAATATTTGTATTCATTGTCAACGCAGTGCAGCAGCTAGCAGACCTAGAGCAGGGTGATCATTGGCTGCCCTGCGGCAACTGCAGCACTCCTACCACTGAGCCCGGCCTGACGTCGTGTCCAATGAAGGGCGCTCGTGCCCTCATCACGTCTTAGCCCGCCAGAATGGGTGTGGCTTAGCGTATATAAGCGGCGCTCGAAGGCTATCTCCATGATTTTCCTCTCTTCAGCGAAGCTCTCCACATCGTTGGATTCTGAGAGAAGCCGCTGCCCCCGTCTGAGGAGCGAACAGCCGGCGTAGGACAGTGCCTGAAGAAGCCGGCCGTCTGCACCGCCTTCAGCCATCCGCTGATACGCTATCCGGCGACGTATCCTTTTTACTGAGCTTTATTCTATGCGTGTTCGCCGCTGCGACACCACCCTTTCTAAAAGAGCACGAGACGTTTTTCTAAAAATGTCTCGCACTTCCTGTGGCTCGTGCCGAGCCCCGCCTAGCGCCGGAGACCGCCATGTGATCTGCGTTCTCTGCCTGGGCCCAGACCACGCAGCCCTCAGTCTTCGTCGGGAAGCTGCGTCCATTGCGAAGAACTCCCGATGTCGACCCTGCAGGCTCGACTCAAGGTGTTTAACGACAAAGCTGTCACTCCGCCCTCTAATCAGCCTCTTGCGCAAAGCGCTACCCAGCATCCAGCTCAGCCACGGCAGGACTCAACCGTCGAAATGTTTCGCCCTGTCAGTCCCCTTAGAAATAGGTTACTGCAGCGGTATATTCGGCAGCCAGCGAGCCGGTAATGCTACCTGCTCGCCTGCACACAACCGCCGCTTCTACGGCGACTCAGAGAAATCTAAAGGGTATAACGTCTGGTTATCTGGCTCACGCCGCTGGTGTCCTAAGTGTAGAGAATGTGCCCACATCTCAGTGTTCACCCCTACAGACAAGCATGATACCCCCTGTGTCTCTCACACTCACGGAGCCCACTCTCATAAAGCGGGCAAATTCCGCTCGAGTATTCAATGTAGGAAATGTGCCTACAATTCTGTGCTCACGCCTACTCTCTGCCCACTCTGTCACACGGCCATAACAGCCTCATATCGGTCTGGTTATGAATGTAAGTTACTGTACGTGCCCGCTCACAAGCGCTCACGCTTACTAACACACGCCACTCGCGCGTCACACGAGTTATCACAAAACGTTCCCAATCCAAAGCGACCAGGACGTCACATTTGAATGTAAATCATGTGCCTGCTCATGAACGCTCACGCTTACTGACACACCTCGCCTCGGGTGCTGCTCGCGCATCTCAGAGTTGTCACAAAACGCTCCCCATCCAAAGCGGTAGGGGCGTCACATGAGTGTAAATCGCGTACCTGCTGATGAACGCTCACACTTACTAAAAAACACCTCACCCCAGGCGCCGCTCACGCATCTCGGAGTTGTTACAAAACGTTCCCCATCCTAAGCAATAGGTGGCGTCAATGTAAGTCCCATGTCCGCTCACGAGCGTTCACGCTTACTAATAAACACTCAGCCCAAGGCGCTGCTCGCGCATCACAAAGTGATGACAAAACGCTCCCCATTCATAGCAATTGGGACGTCACATATGAAACAGCCTGCCACCGCTGTCAGTGTGCGCCACACCCATACCTCCTGTTCAGTTTCTCAAGCCCACACAGTGCAGCGATCAGAACCCAGAGGCCATTCTGCCCTTAGCTACACGTATAAAGGCGTGGGAAGCGATCCCAGGGGTATCAGAATGGGTGCTAAGCACAAAAAGGGAGGACTATTCGCTACAGTTGGATTGCGGTCCTCCGCGCTTTCGAGCACGGACCACGACGAAAGTGAATGTAGAAGTAGCATATCTACTCCGTGCAGAAATAGCGAAGCTGCTGTGCAAATGGGTGTGCTGTACCTCCTTCTCTGAATGAGTCAGGCTTTTACAGACGTTATTTTCTCGTACTCAAGAAGGACGGGGCACTCAGACCTATTTTAGATCGGAGACATTTGAACAAAGTTCTTGTGAAAAGACCGTTCAAATGCGTATGACCAGAAAAATCCTGGTTTATCTCTCTCGATCTTAAAGATGCCTGAAAATATCTGAATGTTTTCAGATTCTGATAATACTTCATTCAGATAAGTCACAGGCCATTCTTGAGATTTGCATTCGATGGCCAGGTATATCAATACACCGTCCTGCCGTTCGGTCTGTCTTTAGCACCCCGTACATTCACGAAGTGCAATCATCTGGAAAGCCTGGGTCTCACGGTCAACTGAACCAAGAGCTCATTACTGTCCAGCCAGTCAATTTCCTTTCTAGGAATAGAACTGGACTCTGTGGCTAAGACGGCTCGATAATCGACACAGCGTGCGCCCCGTGTTCTACGCCTGGCCGCGTCTTTCCAGAAGGGCAGCATCGCTCCTCTGAAGACAGGATGCTGGGCTGTATGACCTCAGCTGCTGCAGTGCTCCAGCTGGGCTTACTGCGCATGCGCCCACTACAAAGCTGGCTGAACGCTCGAGCGTCTTGCCGAGCTTGGGCCCCCGGCTGCGAACGAATCAGAGTGACTCAGAGCTCCATTACGGCTCTGGTTAGCGGCCGACAGGTATCACCCGGGCGTGATGATGGGACTGTCTCGTATCGAAAGGTCATCTCGACAGATGCGTTGGGGCTCTTCGAGGGGAGACCGGTCCTTGACCTGTGGTCAGACAAAGAGAAGCTCCTTCACATAAACTATCTGGAAATGATAGCGGTCGAGAATGCGCTGAAGTGCTTCCTCCCGTTCATACAGGACCACCATGTTCTAGTCTGCTCCACAGTCCAGTCACTATGGCGCCTTTTCGGCAAAGCAGAAGTCGACCTCTTTGCGTCAAAAGACAACGCTCACTGCCAAATTTTCTTTTCAAAGAATAAGGACACGCTGCCCCGAATTTGGGAAATGCACCACTCGGTAGCCCTTATAGCCCTGCGATGGGAGATTCCTCGTGGCCGATTCTGGTTCTGGTGAGGACAGATCTCCTCTCTCAAGCTCGCGGCTCGATCTGGCATCCCCATCCAGAGTGCTGGTCTCTGGACACATGGTTGATCAGCGGATAGCCATTGTCCTGACAGAAGGAGTGATGAACACGATTACGCAGTCTAGAGCTCCCTCTACAAGAAAGCTTTACACGTCTAAATGGTCTGTTTTCACCGCCAAAAATCTGCACCGTCAAAAATCTGGACCCACGAACGTGTGGGGTCTCGCGGTTGCTTAGTTTCCTTCAATAGCTGTTGGATAAGGGGAGGTCCCTTCATTGGACGTGACGTCACGCCGGGCTCAGTGGTAGGCTGCTGCAGTTGCCGCAGAGCAGCCTATGAGCTCACTAGACAGCCTGCTCTAGGTCTGCTAGCTGCTGCACTGCGTTGACAATGAATACAAAAATTAAGGATAATTTTTGGGCTTCAATATCTCGAAAAGATTCATCTTTCCCATAGCGTAAGCTAATTTACGCAATACTCGTTTCCTCTTCTAGAGAGAACCGAGGTTACGTTAGGTAAGCGATACGTTACCTATGTAGGATACAAGTCAAATCTCCTATCTACTTAAAAAGGGGAAAAACAGTTTTTCAACAATATTATGACAATTGATTCAGTAATAAAATTTGATATTGGTATCATAAAGTTAGCTAAAGCTAATAAGCTAATACTGCAGCATCAATACATGTGATGGCTCTATCAATTAGGTGACAGATATTTTTTTTACAACTCAAAGGTACTGTCTTTCCGCAACCATTTTGAGCAATATTTTTTATAGTTTCATACAAGTTCTCAGTGTTCTCTTCATATATATTGTAAATCTGTGTGTGAGTTATCTGCAAGAATACTAACCCAGGCACAGTCATTGAATGGGTGTTCTGGCAGGGAAACGGCCATGTATTCTTTTTTGGTACATACTGCAACCACCAAAACTTCTTCTGTGGTGAAAAAAGCTTCGAAGCCAGTTCCACTTGCTGTGAAGAAACTACACACAGGACACAATGCAGCTTTAAAATGTATAAATACACAGATTAGTATAGAATCTTGCTATAGATTAGTACAATTGTACTAGACTCATACAGGAACACAATATGTAAAAACATTTTGTGGGAAATATATTGAATATTCACTGCTTACTCGCTATGATTTTGTTTGCAACATATAATTGTGAACAAATTATGGTCATGAGAGTGCTAAGAGTGCTTTTTCAATGTCAAACCTCAGAAGTAAAATTGTTGTCATAGTTAAATTCCTAAGTTGTAAATAACTGATGCAGACAAATTGAAATGATCAAATACTGCAAATGCATGATATACATGTGTACACACACATTGACAAAGGTACAGTAATATGTATTGTTGTTGTACATAATAATGTTGTGATGCCTAAAAACGGAATTTATTTTAAAATAATTTATCATAATTAGCAATTAAATCAATTTCAATAACTATTTGCGTAATTGTATTAGCCAACCATTTTCAACTGTGATAATAATAAATGTTTCTTGAGCAGCAAATCAGCATATTAGAATGATTTCTGATGGACTGAAGACTGAATTGCAATACTGCAAATTCAGCTTTTCCATCACAGTAATAAATAACATTTTAAAATCTATTAAGATAGAAAACAGTTTTTTTTAAATTGAAATAATATTTCAAATTTTTTCACATATGTATCTGATCAAAAATACAGTAAAAAAAAGTAAATATTGTGAAATATTATTACAATTTAAAAGAAGTGTTTAAACACACACACATATACATATACATATATATATATATATATATATATATATCAAAAAGACAAAAAAAAAAAAACATTATAAAGATAATTTTAATTTAAACCTGTAAAGCTGTTTCCTGCGCGGTCCCTTGGCCATGCGAACTGCATTATCCGGGTTAGTCAGGTGGGATTCTGAGTAGTAGTGCTGGGGTGGAGGAAAGTCTGTGTTGAGGCACAGCCAGGCGTGGAAAGCAAACGCACTCCCTGACCAGCGTTGTATAGCTGGCACCATAATACCCGCCATAGGGGGCATAAGGTCAAAATACTGCAAGGCGCTGCACCCACCCTCTCCACGGGCTGCCATGGCGGAGAGCACTCTTACAACGCGCCCGCAGTACGGGTGAGGAGGTGCACCGGGCTCAGTCCGCAAGAGCTTCAGCAGACTCTTCAGTTCACAGGGCCGTAAAGAAAGAGATCCCAAGTCTTGCAGCAAGCCCATGAGGGCGTCCGCACACTGCCGGTCAAGCCGCTCCGGGGGTTCGGAAAGCACCTCCAGCAGAGCGCCGACTAAGCCTGCCTCGACGGCTACAGTGCGGCAGGACAGAGTTCCTCGACACACGGCCGCCAGCCACTGGGACACCAGCAGCTGCAGAGAGCGAGAGCCCAGATCAGGCAACCACTGTAAAAGCAGGAGCAAAGGCTGTTCGTTACTGATGCCCAACTGCATGGCCAGGGAATACTCTCCTTCAACAGCCTGAGAGAAAGAAGAAGGAGAAAGCAAAACATTATGTAAGGATACAAGGTTTTTTTTTTATAGCACAGTGTCTCCAATAATCCAAATAATCTCAAAAACCGCATCTGATGAAGAACTTTTTTGACGTTTTATAAGTATGCATGTGTGTAGTATGAATTCAGTGTTATTTTACAGAGTATTATAGTACTTATAAAAACGATTGGTGACCTTCAATATCCGTCATGTTCTCCACAATTACTTCGAATACTAACTAAGACTCTTCTCTTGTCGCCTAGTTGGATAGTAAAGTGTCCATTGGATGCACACTTCAGAATCTTGTTAGAAACATGAGATTTTTCATCTACTATTTTTTGAATACTTTGTATGCAGACATGCTACTCATTTGACATTGCTTTTCGCATACTATATAGCATGGAAGCAGTTATATTTGAATATGAAACATTCTTTGAAATGTGAGTCAAAGCCATCCAAAATGTGCAGTGTTGGGAGTCCTCTAGGACCGGGATTGAGAAACCCTAATATAGAACATTTAATAACAACAGAAGTTGACCAATGCGCTTAACAGGTAAAATATAGGTAAAATAACAAGAAGCCTAAACACTAACACACATCATACATCAAATTACCTTTTACAGAGACAACTTCCGTGCAGTTCTTCACACAATTGCTACTGTATTTCTTCAGAAGGCTTTTAATATAATTATTAGTTAATAAATTATTACAAAAAAATTAGACAATTCATATATTAAGGAATTTGGCAAGTCACATGATCTCAAGATCCCCATGAGGTGACCCTATCTATAAACTAAAACTGCTTTTAATAGGAGTCTTCATATCATGTGAGTGTACATTATTTTGATTATATGGTTCAAAAGCACTTTTTCTTACATTATGTGTAAAAAAATGAGAAAAGGTAAGGAAATTGATGTCACACCCTTTTTGATAGTAGTCTACTCAGTCTATGAGTCTACTCAATATGCAAACTTCAGGCAGATCCACAGATCACAATGCAACACGAATGAGACGTCACAGCAGATCACACTTAATTTACCCCTACCCTACACAACTTAAGTGCATCATATTGGAGTTAATATGAACTTTTAAACCACATAATAGCACTTGTAGCTACCTTAAGATGACTGTTATAGTTTATTGTTCTGTTATTTTCGTTTGTGTAAATCTTTATATTTTCAAATATATATACAGCCCAAGCATACGCACAGGCCTATAGAATGGAGCATAAAAGAGAATCTTAATGTAAATAATAATTGCGGATTCCAAGTGATCAAGGGCTTAGGGTGTTTCATTTGAACATATTGCATATTGTATCATATTGTCTCTTCTCGCTTACCATGTTCATCAGCTCCTGCAGGAGTCTTTTGGTGGGCTGTCCTTGACTTTTCAACACATCGAACAACTGTGAGTAGCCAATTCGTTCCTTAAATACCTCCTGGGAAGACAAACCAAACAAAACCAGTTGCATTACAATTGAACACGCACAGAATACAATGGGTGTTTTTTTCACCCATTTACCCAAAATAAACCAAAGCACAAAAGGTATTATATAAAGTAAAAATGTTTTCCAAGTGAGAATATCATAAAAACAATAGAATGTTACTTTAAAAGTCCAGTCCACTGTAAATTTCTTTCACAATGCAAGGCCACCAAGATTATTTATTTAAACTATGCGGAAAAAACTAAGAAAACAAAAAGTTATACATCTTCATTGTGCTGCAGTATAATGTTTGTATTCCAAAGATGGTGTTATACACACACACACACACACACACACACACACACACACACACACACACACACACACACACACACACACACACACACACACACACACACACACACACACACACACACACACACATATATATATATATATATATATATATATATATTACATTTAAAGAGAAAAAATAAACAAAAAATAGGTCATGGGATTATGACACTTTTTGACCTGGAAGTACCATAAAAAAAAATAGGAGGTTATGACGTCACCACGGGTGACCTGGTTCTGCACCACAACATCAAATGTGCTGATAAGATTAAACCCACGCGCATAAGGGGCACATTTATCACACGCAAGCACTTTGACTTATCATGCTGATAAGACGAGCGGCGTCTCTAAAATGACCTTTCAGAGACTTTAGGAGAAACATACATAAGGAACGAGAGGAGAGGAGGTGTGAGAAATGAGTCTACGGAGACATGTCATACCTTGGCAGAGGGCGAGTTGCTCATAATGGCGGTAAGGACTCGAATGGCGTGTACTGTGATGCAGTCAGAGCCCTTTTCCCAGACCTACACAAACACACACGCAAAATACACACACCATTTAGTTCACAATCTTCTTATAATCTCTTATGTTAAATGATTAGTTCAGAATAAATATTCTGTCGTTATTTAAGCATACTAATGTATTTCCAACCCCATTTATAGAAACCAAGGCCGTGATACTTCAGATTTACTTCATAAAGATACTTCAGAATTTCTCCTTTTGTTTCCATGGACAAAAACAACAGAATATGGGTTTGGAATGACATTTAAGTAATGTAAATAATGACAAATATGGAATTAGTAGGATTATATAAAAAAAGAAATTAATACTTTTATTCAGCAAGGATGCATTACATTGAAGCAGCACAACTGTTTTTTACATTGATAACAATAAGAATAGATATTTCTTGAGCTCCAAATCAGCATATAGGGATGCACGATATATCGGCCAGCATATCGGTATCGGCCTGGTAAGAAAATGTGGCCGATATATTAAAACCGATAAATAATGTATTATTTTTTTTCAGCTGAGACACTTGTTGAGAACTGTTTATGTTTTTGAATTTCTTGAAATATGATTGAAATCTCTTCAAAAAATGAAAATCTGGTTCGGGACAACATGTGCAACGCAAATCTGTCATATCGGCTAAACAACACTATAATGAAAACATCATTATAATTGTGCGCTTGGGACGTGGATTTAATTATGAGACTTTTGTTTTTGTAATCAGGCTCTCAAAATTAGATAAAAATTTGGATTTAACTTTATCGGCCGATATATCGGTTATCGGCTTTCAAATATAAAGAATTATCGGTTATCGGTATCGGCCAAAATTTTCATATCGGTGCATCCCTAAGCATATTATAATTATTTCTGAAGGATAATGTGATACTGAAGACTGGAGTAATCATAGGAATAAATTACATTTTAAAATATATTAAAATAAAAAACAGTTATTTTAAATGAATAACTATGTCCCAATTTGACTGTTTTAACAGCATCCTTGATGAGCATAATGACATTTTGTGTTTCTTTTAAGTTTAAGAGAGAAGTATGCAAGGTGGATAAATTCATAAATTCTGAAAACATGCAACAGATTTCTCACTTTAACCTTGAAATATTTACCACCACTTAACCACAAATATCCCACCAAAGACCACCAAATGAAACACACACCAAATGTTACACCCACAGCACCACAGCCAGACTAGACATGCTAAAAATCTAGAAACACTCTGCAAACTGCAAAACAACATGACACAGCCTTGCAATAATACATCCAAAGAACTTCACACATATTCTCTCTCACACACACACACACGCACACACACACACACACACAAAACCACCATCAGCAGGATCCTCACCCTCTGTGTACTGACATGCCACTAACCGTTAAAAAAGTACTCAGATGGTACCATGGTATCAAATGCTACAATTTCATGTTACTATTATTACCATATCTATATACGACAGTGTTACTATTGTTAACTAAAACTAAAACTATTAAAAATAAAATACAAATATTAGGGGAAAAAAACTATGCAAAAGGTGAAAAAAACTGCATTGAGTTTAAATTGAATACAATTAACTGAAATAAACTAAACTAAAACTCAAATACAAAAACTAATTAATCAATAAATGACAACTTTTTAAAAATATAAAAAAGCTAATCAAAATGACAAAAGTACTAAAATCTAAACTAAACATTTAAATAATTTAAATTTCGTTTGGTAATTTTATCCAAATACCAAATGTACCATGTATGAGAACCGCATAATGTAATTTTCCACATTTCTTTTGTTGCGTTTAAGTCAACTGTGAACTAACGGACAAATGCAAAGACACGTGTGCATGCATACAGATGTGTATTGCGTTGTTTGTGGAACGGTAGGTTACGCAGAATCTAAGGTTGCTCAATCAGCAGTTTTTCTGTCAGTGTATTTGTGCGTTTGTCTGCGTTTGTGTCAGTCGAGTGAAGGGTGGGTTTCCTGCTGACGAACGCCACACTGATCAGCGGTGAAGGGAAAGTACCTGCTCCACTTCAGACTCTGTGAGCAAACGTGTAGTGAGGTCACATTGGCCCTCACACTCCACCATAAACCTGTTACTCTGATAGAGCTGCAGGACGGACGCACATTCACACACGCACCGTCACAAACAAACACATGAACACAAGTGAGTCAGAGATCAATAAGCAAGCAGAAATGAAACTTACTGATAAATAAAGCAAAAAGAACCAAAAAAGGTTATGAAAAAAGATTTTTCAAAAAGATGAAAAAGAGAAGCTTTTTGCAATCCTCATTACACAATATAATGCCTAGTTACAACACACTCAAAAACCACCCAGCTTAGCCAAACCAACTGTGATCACATTCAAACCAGTGACCCAGCACCTATATTTCATCACCTGACGGAAACAGAGGCTGCACTGCAAATAATTTGTATTCGTCACTTTGACGCACTGGGATAAAAATGGTTTGTCATGCTGTCAGTTTTTATCTGTCTGTAAAATAGTGGTGATGGCTTGAAAAGCTTGATGGGTCAATGACAAATCTAGCTTAAATGCCTGTTCCAAGTTCCTAGAATTGCAACATTTGTATTAATTTTGGTTTGAAAAACCTATACCATTTTCGTATATCAATTTAAGAAAAATATCGATTTTATGACTTAAAATGATAATGAGGTAAAATGATCTTAATCCTTATTGCAAAAACATTTTTAAATAAAGTTTACAGTGAAAAGTATTTTTGTGCAAATATCATGATTTTGTGTGTGTTTTTATATTATAAATATCATTATATTTTCGTGAGTTGTACCACATGACTGTTATAACTGCTGTACCTCAGCTATTGACTACTGACCTTGACACAGTCATTAGGGTTTGCAGGGATTCACTCTATGATATAATTTCCTCTATATGTTATGTTTGCATAATGATTGCATCAACTGACTTTGATTTGGCAGACATATTTTTCAAATATGTATTTATTAAAATAATTTTAAAAAAAATGTGAGGCTTTTAATATTGGGACAGTTTGACATTATTTGGTAACACTTTATTTTACAGTGTCCATGTAGTAACTAATACCATTTACCATTTACATGTACACTGTAAAAAAAAATATTTTTGAGATTTGTTATCACAACATTTTTTCTTTTGTCAAATCAACTTAAATAATTTATTTAGTTCAGATAACATATTATTTTGAGTTTTTGATGATTAAATCATTGTATTAACTCCATTTGAATTTCCATTTGAATCAACTTAAAATTAAGGCAACCCAGTTACTTATGTTTTTTTAAGTTAAACCAACAATATATTTTTTTTATTATTATTACACAGTTCTTAAATGTATAATTACACTGTAACACAGACACCTTAAAATAAAGTGTAACCGTGAATTTTAATTCAGAAACTAAAACATGTTCAAATGTACAAACTAATATACGCATAAATGAAACCTTTATTGTATTTTTGAATCAATTAATAGATCTAGACTAAAAGAAATGCCATTGATCATGGTATTTCTGAGACATTTTTGTCTTATCAAGAACTGTGTTGCAGTTTTTATTCTGCTCACAAAATGTGAAAGAACAGCTTCAAATCCCTACTGACATCCTTTGGTGGGAAACTTTCCAAAGCAGGGAAAACATACCTTAGAAATACCTTATATAAAAATCATATAAACCGTTTCTAAAAATGGATAAATGATAAAAACCTTTCAGTTCAAGCAACCTCTGTATGGAACCATGGCAAATCTGTGGTTCAGATTAGTTTATTCGAGGACAGGTGTCTGCTTGTTATCTTTCAGAAAAAACACCAGCAGGTTGGCACATTTCCATTGTCAGCCATGAGAATGGTTTGAATCCTCAGGGCTGGTATTGTGAAACACTGCTGCAGATATCTCAGAGGGTTTAAGTAGGTAGCGTTCTGACCTTGCTGTTCTGGATGAGGCGGAGGATGTGCTCAAAACAGTTGTTAGTTAGAAAGATGGCCTGCAACACCGGCCGGTCTGAACACTGCAGGATCTCTGGGATAGCATCTGCAGGGCAAAAACACAAGAACATTCAGACTTCTTGACCTGTGCCCTCTAGACAGATAAAACTATGCCAGTTCAAGCACTCGGACGTCTGCATTACTCGTGGAGAAGAGACTAAATGTAGCCAAACAGCTGTTCTGATTGGTTCAACTTCTCTATTCAAATTGTTTCCAGAGAACTGTCTACAATTACTCTGAACTTCTCCAAAAGAGAGGGAAGTTCACCACAAACATAATATAAATGTTCTGGGTTAAAGATCTGTGATCTGGGTTAAATATTTAGAATCAGAAGCACTATATAATTTGCCATGTATGATACAATTTTGTTGAGTTGACACACAATCTCAACGATTTTTTTCTCGATGCAAAATGTTTCATCATGATGTAATATCACATTACATGCTGAACACTATATATTCATACTACATATACTCCACATAAAACTATTCTAAATTATAATGCATGCAGTTTCATGACCTTATATTAATTGTTAATTTGTGTTTTAAAAATGTATGTTAATTATAATTGAACTAGTGAAGAAAGAGAAGGTGTTTAAAAAGAGTGAAAAGTTTTATTTTCACATTTTATTAATAATAATATAAATTAACCCACAATTTCAACAGAAACCTAGAGGATATTAAGTTCTAGAGGCAACATGAAAGCTGCACAGAATAAACTAAACTAAAAACATAAACAGACCTTGAGAACCTAATAAATGCAAATAAAACACACACACAACTCATTTACAAAGCAAACAAGCCAATGCATCACATATAAAGATTTGTTTAATGAAAGGGGTGTGTTTAAAATATCTTTTCCTGGAAGGCCGTTCATGAGGGTGAGTAAAAGAAGCCAGAAATCATTTATAGATGAATTATACCTTTAAAACGGGGCCCTCGTGGTACGACAGTGAAGTTTCCTGATTATTATGCAGGAATGAGAGTATAGTTCCTAGTCATATCAGGCTAGAAAATTGCAACTTTACATTTTCTGTCTGTCTTAGTGCACGATGTAACTATAGAAGAGTCAAGTTTTAAATAGGAAAAATATAAAAACACTTTGGCAATTTTTTTGGGAGAAATGCTAATGGTCTTGTGCACTTCAATGATGTATGCTAAGCTATGCTAAAAGTGGTACCGCCAGAACCGGAGATCGGCTGAATGGATTCAAAAAAAGCTAAAACTGAACAGTTTAACTCTGGGGGAGTTGTAAAATGAGCATATTTCCAAAAAAAAGTGGAGTATCCCTTAAAGTTATTCAAGCAAGATCCATTGGTGATTTTCTATGTCTTGTGTTGATTATCATTAACGACACAAACAGCAGCAGGTTTATTAGGCTGCTGTCACTTTAAGAGCTGCATGGAATCAATATATTGATACACATCCTGTTTTATTCCAACTGTTCACATTCAATTAAGACATTAACAACTGGGTTTACGAGAAAACTTGCTAAAAATGGCATTTTTGTGTGTATTTGACCGTTTAGGCCCACACCTAAAGCTCAAATTATACTTTGATTCGGAGTCAAACGCAGATAAGCAGAGTGAGCACCCAGAAAAGTGTCTCTTTTGTTGCTTAATGCACTTTTAATTACACTTTTTAATATCAAGCACGTCTCGCAGTTTAGCAACAGTAGACTACACATATTGTGCTAATTTGTATGTTAAAGTCCCCGTGAACCGGAAGTTGCAAACGATTTTTCTCCAGTGCTGTGACGTATTTCCAAGTGAAACGGAATATTGAACAGAGGGCAGGGTTTTACTCTAGCGCTCCTCCTCTCCATCTCTCGCTCATAGCAAACTAACGGTTTGAGGGGAGTGGTTAAGCGTTTCCCCACCCAAGCTGTGAAACCTACGTCATCAGAAAGAGAAACCGTTCCAGACCGGAAGTAACTTTTCAGATTTTGATTAAAGATTACCAAGGTAAAATATTTTTTTAATATATTTTTACTTGCACGGATTAATTGTTCACCACAAGACTAGTAATATGCGCTAACAAAGTAAATAGGTTCAATTTTGATTTCACGGGGACTTTAAGTTTTAGGGCTTTAAGAGAGGAGCGAAAGCACACTCATGTGATGGAAAGAAAGGTGCGCTGTACGGAATGCGGCAGCAGCACAATAATCATTTTACCACAATTATCTTGTTTTCATAATCGTTGGAAGCCAAAATCGAAAATTGAAAATCAATTACGATTAATCGCACAGCCCTATTCTGCAGAACACAAAAGAAGCAGTCAATGGGGTTCAATTCTTTATCTTTATCTTCCTTTGTGTTCCACAGAAGAAAATCACACAGGTTTGGAATGACATTAGGGTGAGTAAATGATGAAAAATGTTTAAAGTAAAAGAGTGATGGCAAATATTCTCTTACTCAGCATATGTTCGAGAAGGATAATGAGGTTATCCTCCCAGGCCAGGATATCTCCCTGCTGGCTCTCTGGTAGCCGGTTCCAGTTGAGCAGCTGGAAGTAATTCTCCAGTACAGTCCGGATCTCAACCTGCCTATCGCATGGGTTGCTGGAGTGCAGAAGGTGGATCATTGTGGTCAGGCACCGCAGGGACATTCTAAGCAGCCGAGGGTCCCTGGGCTCTTGCGGGGATGAAGCAGGACAGAGGCACCAGGAACGCAGCACAGACATGAGGTCCTTCACAGCCTGGGGGGTGATGGAGAGAAGGCCGTTCCTCTGAAACACACACACACCACACAAATCACAGCACGTAACAGACTCATATAGTAAGGTATGTGGTCACAAAATCAGAGGTCCCTATGAAACCCCTCAGAAGATAAATCATGTAAACAGGGCAAAAGCGTCGAATTTACCTTGCAGCCACTGATAACGGCTCCCTGTAGGTGCACCAGCCTCACCACAAGGGGCTCTGGGATTAGTTCACTCTCTTGTAGGTAGTCTGTGGGTGTAACCAGTCATTTAGTAAAAAGAATCTTAAATTGGTTATGACATGAGGAACATCTTGGTTACTGATACAACTCTCGTTACATAGACACATGTCAGGTCAAAAAGACTGACAAATGAGGTCTCACTTGGGAGTATTAGAAATAAGGCCAATGAAAATGGCGAATGGTATTTGCATGCTGAGCCACTCCCTGTACATTTGGGTATATGAGATGGCGGCACGCATCAACTCATTCAGGTTTATGCTGAGGAGTTGAGACGAGGAACCCGGCCATTCAGCTGTGATTCAGAGTTGTGGCAGGAGGAACATAATGTCTCTGTTCCCTCCATCAGGGAATAAGACGTTCCCTATCTTTTAGTCACATTCAACATTATGATGAAAAGATTGGCAAATGGGGCCAAATGGAAAGCCCCACAACCACTGAACTGTGTTATGAGTGATGGAGATGCAGATGCTGGCAAGATGTATTGTGCCCTTTAGGCAACTGATCCCATTAAGTCGTAACCTTACTAGTGCCCCATGTAAGCCTATAATTTTAGTCATCAATGCCAATGGGATGGAAGAGACAGGGCTTACCATGGAGACTGTTCCTTTTACATATTATTTCACGGAAAGAGTGTTTTGGTCTTTAATTCCCATTTGCTTTTTTTCAGCCATGACGAGTTTCATTAATGCTGGGTAAGCGTACCTAGTACAATGGAGAGGGACGCTACGGAGGCCAACTGCTACCCGTAGGGAGGAACATATATAGACTGACTCGTGGGGCAGTGAAAAATGTGGAAATACCTCCAGGTAGGTCCTGCGTAGAAAGGAATGGAACTAATACAACTAGCAAAATCTGCCCAGGGAAAGACACGGGTTTACCAACTGGGAAACTGTACCATTGAGGTATACACATATGGGATTACCAAGGGGGAAGCACAACATATGGGGCATCCAGCCCTGTACAGGGGCTGACTGAGCGGGCATGCACTCGAGTACTGAGCCTGGTGTCGGACAACTCCATCGAGTCTGACTCCCGGAGGATGAACGGAGGAAACTCAATCCAGGGTTCGCCAAGAGGGGAACTCACCTGGAGGGCCAAGAAAGCCCTCGTATTCCCCCTTAGAGGGGAATGGTGCTGTAAGCGAGACACAAAGCCAGCCTTCCCACACATTAGCTGTTTGTACCCAACAAACCGGAATAAACCAGCTCTACCTGGAGATTGTAGAATCTCGTAAAGATAGCTCTGCAGATGCTCTGGCAAAGAGGTGCCACTTGCCTAAGCCCAGGAGGAGGCAACTTTCTGAATTAACATACACAGGACAGGGATCCATGGAACCTGGGGTGACGCCTGGCGAACTGAATCACATAGCTGAGTCTGATTGTTCGCAAAAGCCAGCCAAGGACAGGCTAGGAAACACTAACCAGGCTCTGTGCAAACAGCGCCAAGGGGACAACCTATGTATCGGCGGAGGGGCAGCGAGGGGGAGTTCTGGGGCCGAACCCGGGAAGCACAGCATCCCACTGCGAGTGTGGTATGACACTTACCTGGCTCCAAGGGTCTCAGAGGCAATGTATCCTTGAATCGCAATGTCTTGGCTCGTGGCAAATGTGTAAGGGGGGCCTGGGGATGAGGAAGCATAGCGTCGCTCACTGCCAGACCACGCCCTCTAACCCCTGTGAAAAAATCTGCGCCATCACTCGGCAGCTTGACGGCACAAGACACAGCAGAGGAGCGGGACGTCCGTGGGGACTGGCCCTCTGGAACCGCTTCCACTGTAACCCTCAGATCTCACAGAGTGTTAACTATGCCCATAGCGTGCATTGTGCAGAGGCAGTGTGCTGGGTAACATCAGATGGGACTCCAGCCTTCGCGAGGAAGGACAGTTGGGAACGCACTGTCAATGTGGTCATGCCTTCACTGCTAGGGGTATCTTGCCCCAGGTATGACACAGTGATCGTGGCTGTCAGATGAAGACAGGAAACAACTGCATCCAGAAACACGTAGACAGAAAGGCATCTTTAACCCTTTGATGAGTACGATCACACCAGTGTGATTAGAACGTTCAGTGCATCATACAGACTATTTAAATTGCCAACTTGTTTTATTCTTATAAGATACACATTGTATAGGTATTAGGTAACTATAAAACTTACTCTATTCTTCTCCCACTTCTCTGATTGGGGCTCAGAGGGTTGATTGGGGCTCCCAAGTGAGACCCCGTTTGTCAGTCTTTTCAACATAATGTCAAATGTGACTGACAGACATGCAATCACATTTTCTTTGATCTTGAAAGTCATGTCATGAAACCTTTAAAACTGAGCATCTTTCGTGCAATTGTCAGTATTTTAATGTATGGCACAAAAACATATTTTGTTATGGAGAAAGTTAATAAAAAAATAATTATGTCATCATTTATGACTTATGATTTATGTCTTTCAAAACCTCTATTCATTTATTTTTTTTGCTGGAACACAAAAGATATTTAGAAAAATGTCAGTGTAAATTTTGTCCATATGATTAAAGTCAATATTGTTTGACAGAATTTTAATTTCTTAGTGAACTATTCCTTTAAAAAAGGAAGAAAAATTAAAATAAAAATAAAAAATTCTTCTTTAAAAAAATGTCATATAATGGGAACCACCTACCAACACTGGTTAGCAAAAAAAGAACAAAAAACAAAGAAAAGCAAAGCAAAACAAAACAAAACAAAACAAAGAAAAGACAAAAAGCAAAAAAAACTAAAACAAACAAAAAGCAAAAAAAATAATAAACAAAACCCCAAAATGTGAACCTAGAGTTTTTTTTTTTTAATTTTAAGTGAATTGTACCACAGTGCGGACCAAAAAACTGATATGCGAGTTCAAATGACCAATAGAAAATCAAACAGACCTCATATAATAAATTACACCAATTCCACAATGATGATAAGCCTTTTGGTGAAAAACACCTTTTCAGCACAAGAAGCTAGTTTACCTCACCTCATGAGCACAGGCCACTTGGACCCACTGTCGCTGGCCTACCCTACTAAACCAATATAGGTGTGGAAGTTGCTTCACAGAGCTTTTAATCACTTGGACAAAGCTTGTAACACTGTCAGGATCATGTTATTTGTTTTGGCCATTGCCTGCAGGCTGCAACACAATCCTGCTTCTCATATGTGTTGATTTAAATCTACAGTCTTGATCCCATTCCTCTCTCTCTTCCCTGTCTCATCTGTCATGTACATTACATCAATAGACTTAATTACTCAATAGTTCTTTACAAACAGCAAGTCATTTTGTCTCCTGTGAGGCAGTATGTGTGATATCTCTCAGGATGTGACGAAGCGAGTAAATGGAGGTAAAGAGTGTGTCAAAAGGCAGGAGTGGGTGACGTACCGTGGAAGAGCAAAGGAAGCTCCTCTGGCAGAACAAGAGGGGAGAACTTATACTTGCTTCTCTCCAGCATACTGACCTCCTCCCTGAAAAACACATATCAAAGCTTTTTGTGGAAAAACTTGACACATTCTTACTTATTACTCAAGCAATAAGCTACAGGACACTGCGATACATCATCTACAGAAGCATAGAATATTAAAACTTGCTTTTTTCTAGTTTTAAGCATAAATCTACCAAAAAAAGAATGCATTATTTAATAATAATAATAAATGGCAGTACAATAATGTTGTAATAACCGTGGTATTTTGGTGGTATAAGTACATTAATCTACTTATACACCATGGAATTGACATGAATTATGTTTATTTTTCTTGTTTTAAGCAAAAATCTCTTACAAATAATAAACTATTCAATAATAATAATAGCAGTACAATTATGTTTTCAGGCTGTAATACCATGGTATTTTATAAATTCCATATTCCACGGTACTTTACAGAATGTTATTGCCATAATGGCTGTTTCCATAAAAATGTGGTAACACTGTAATATTTACTACAGTACAAGGGACTACACAATTCTTCTGCCAATTACCAAATTATACTGTTGATGGAGGCCAAAACAGTGACTGTTTATGAAATCCAATTTATGTTCAGTCAGCTTTTAACATCCAATCCATTTGTAGAGCTGAAACTATACATTTCCATGAACTTCACTTTAGTGGATGGCTAGAACAGTGATGTTTGAAGAGATGCATCGGTGCTGTGAGGAATTTATGCTTTGTGTAATTCAGACAGTTGAGCATAAGAAGCTGAGAGGTGAGGTCTGGGTGTGTTATTAACTGTTCAAGTGGAGCTGAAACAGAGCTTGCCACTCACAACGGCTCCTACGCATTCCTATTGTGGTTTAACACCCTGCTTAGCTCACAGACACACAGCATACACACTCACCCTGCCTGCCGTCTCCTCCACGTCTGATAAGGGTCAAAGAGATTTTCGCACAGCAGCAGGCCGTGTTGTACCACCGACTGTAAAGTGCTCTGATCATCTGGCTGCTTCTTCAGCTGTAACATACATACACGTGCTTGACTGAGTCTTGTGAATACACAAACCTAGCTTGTTATCACACAAACACTCCTTTGAGTAAAGAAGAGATCTTCCACCCAAAGCTTTCTGATTCAACCTGTTAGTTCAGAAACCTATACAAGCACAGTAAACACATGTATAGTAATAACAATAGCTGCATAATATACAATTAAGTGGACAAAAGTTTCACTGGTATGTTTAGAATAAACAAAAAGATAATTTATCAGCAGTGGTGTAAACCACAGTGAAATAGACTTCACAGACTTTTTGACTTCTTACCTGAGACAAACAGAAGTTTAGGAGCTTGATTGTCTCAAACACAAAGCCAGGGGTCTTTTCAGAGTCTATATTCTCCATATTCCTGCAGGAAGAGATTTCAAAAGGATTCACATCAGTACTGGTATTATTGTACACTCAAGGAAGATCCACACAATATTTGCAATGGGCTCTATGCACGGCGGTATTTCGGGTGAAGGTTTAAGGATGCTGGATTACTTCCGCCAATCGTACTATCCCGAGAATTTATATTGGTTTTTATACTCTATGGCTATACTAAAGAAACATTAGTCACAAAAACAGACAAAACAGACACCCCTCATTTTGTTTATGCTTCTTTGTTTATTATATTAAATAAACATCACTATATATAAAATACATCTAAACATATTAAAGGAGTAGTTCACTTTTAAAAAAAAAAACTTTTGCTGATAATTGACTCACCTCCATGTCATCCAAGATGTCCATGTCTTTCTTTCTTCAGTCGAAAAGAAATTAAGGTTTTTGATGAAAACATTCCAGTATTTTCTCCAAATAATGGACTTCATTGGGAACCAAATGGTTCAAGATCCAAATGAGAGTTTCAGTGCAGCTTCAAAGGGCTTTAAACGACACCAGACGATGAATAAGGGTCTTCTCTAGCGGAAAGATCGGTCATTTCAACAATAAATAAAAAAGTTTAAGTTTTATAAGAACAAATGCTCGCCTTGCTCCGTTCTGTTATGAGCGTTCGTGACTCTCCTGTTCAAACTCGTTCATCAAAATGAACAAATCTTTTTTCGAGTCATGACTCAAAGGGTCCTAGATAAGACCGTTGTTCATCGTCTGGTGTCGTTTAAAGCCCTTTGAAGCTGCACTGAAACTCTCTTGAACCATTTGGTTCCCATTTAAGTCCATTATATGCAGAACATCCTAGAATGTTTTCATCAAAAATCTTAATTTCTTTTCGACTGAAGAAAGAAAGACGTGGACATTTTGGATGACATGGGGTGAGTAAATTATCAGCAAAAGTTTTTTTTTAAAAGTGAACTACACCTTTAAAGTTTCATTTCAGATGGGACTCTGCCATAATCCCGTTTCCTCGGTTTTCCTCCGCTTTAAATCTCCCCAACCAGAAACTGAAGAGCAGCCTTGCATCAAATGCGGAACTTATGCGTGCATTTAGCATATTTAGCTATTTAGCATAAACCGCTGCCTTGCGTTATTCCTGCTGTACGAAGATAGAAGCTTATCGACAGAGGTTTGAGCCACTGGGGCATTATCACAAAGAGAATGATGGCGTTCACTATCTGCTCCGTGGGAACTGACCTGCAGATGATGATGAAGAACTTGATGAGGAGCAGTGGGTGTGGAGCAGTGCTGTTCTTGTCCTGCCCTGACATGTGGAGGGCACTGTGCCACAGCTGGGTGCTGAGGAACACCAGTACCTCCTTGGGCAGGAGCGGAACATCGGCGCTCCATTCCTCCAGCCTGCAGACAAAAAAAAATGTTGCTTTTGCTTTTTGTTTATTTCATTTTGCTTTTTGTTTTGTCTTCTTGATGAAGGATTGATAGATGGATATCAAAAAAGTCAAAGTACTGTTTGTTTTAATTAAGTCATTGAACATGAGCCTTGGTCATCCTTGTTTTATCTGCTCTTTTTAAAAAAAGTTGGCAAGTTTCTAAGGCCGTTGCATCACAATCCATTAACATATATCCAGACAGCCTCAATTTTTTTTTTTTCTAAATTACTAGCCCTTGCTGAACTACATCACTGGGCTAATCTTTAGATCACAGATCTGGTGTGTATGGGTACGTTTTCAAAAGATGGATTTTTTCAAACTCGGCAAACCGTTAAATGCAATTTAACAAATATAGAGCGCTAAATACCATCATAGTCAGAGTTCCATCTGGACCTGACCACCTACAGATCAACTCCCTGTGTCTATGACATTTTGATAGGTCAGCGTGTAACTGACTCACCGACGAGGCTCCGTCGACTGCACATCAATGATCTTCTCAAAAGAAGCCACAAATACCTCCAACCACTGCTGCAGGTAAACAACATCTTTCTGAAAGACAGAGAAAGCAAAAGGGAAAGAGTAAGAGAGACATCTTTTGACAAAACAGTCCCATTGTGAGAGGAATGGGTTATGAAGAAACACACACTTTTGCTAATCCAAACTGAAAAGTTGCACTTTTAAAATCACTTCTCCAGTCCATTATGCTCCATCCAGCTGTTTTTGAATTCATACTTTGTGAAAACTCCCATCAGGGTCAGGTGAACCCGCAACCAGCTTATTTGGCGTTTCGATAAGATCTAAATCAACTAGTAGTACAATCAATATTCTCTCAGGCAAACCACCAAATAGGCAAAATTATGTAGTTTTGCTTTTGCACATGCGTAATAAGTCTTTGCACCACAAGGTCTCACTAAAGCATGACTGGGCGCTATCTCCAAAATCAGAGCATGCACACCCTTGTGTTAACACAACAGGAAACTACAAAGTATGCAAAGTTTTGCAATGTAACAGTGGATACTGTGAATTCTTAATGCAATCAATGCAGTGACACCCATGCTTTTGTAAATAGGACAAAAAAAATAATGTTCGCTACTGCCATTTTAGTCAGATGAAGAACTGTGTAGCTCAAAACGTTACATTATGTATTTTGGTGAGCCCAATATAGATATACATACATTTATTTTTTTTTATTTTTTTTTTTTCAGAGCAACAGTGTGCTGAGATTGTGTATTTGTTTAAATACATTTTTAGGTCAAGCACCTGCATTTCAGATATTTTTGGATGTGCATGCTTTCTATGTTTATTTTTTAAGTCTTTACACTCTCAACGGGACATCTTTGTGCCTTATTTATTCATGAAAGGTTCATAGTAGTACATTAAACATACACATTAAAACTTTAAACTAGAACCGTATGTAAGCACCTTTAAGGGGTAGATGGTACGGCGTTGTCCCAAAATTGTACTGCCATAGTGACAAGCTGTTGTACTCCAAAGGGTATCATTTAAAAACATCACAACATTTGCCATATGCAAACATTTATATGTAGTTTTATTGAGTTCCTTGACAAATATATCTCATTGTCGCCACCATTGCAACCTACTCTCCAAGAAATTCTCATTGTCTGCCAAATCTTTTTGTTGTTAGAATTCCCTTTTTCTCAGCTTTGAAGATAGTCTTTGTATATCACTTCTCTAGCATGGCACTAGCATTGGGTTCAATTCCAAATGAATGCATGAACTGATCGAATGTAGACCTTGAATGCAATATAGGCAAATGCAGTAGAATCGTAACTCTAACAATTAGTATTTTAGTATTACATGTGACTGTCACTTGAAAGCGTCTGGTGGAAAAAAAATGTCAAAGAGCGAGGAGCTATGCTTAGCTTAAATGATGCGGCTTGATCCGCCCACTCATATAGGGGAAGTTTCATGAAACAGCTTCATAAAACACTCTGATAACAAAACACAAGGGGCTTCTGGTATACTAAACCAATGTGCACTACAGCAGAATGCAACTGTGAAATAACATTAAACCTACTCAAGGTGGAAAAAATGAAACTTTACCAATTGCTGTTCATTTAGGGGCCAGTCCATGTCTCATGGCAGGTGATGTGCGGTGGAGGGGCTCTTGTTACCCCAGTCTCTGCTGAGCCCCCACCAAGTTGCTTCTAAAACGTCCAGAATGTGTCCACTTGTAATCCTCAGTATCAATCAGAATCCATCATGACGCCTCAGTTTAGACGTGCTGGCTCACTTCTCTGCTCTTTTCTGCTCTCTTGCTGTCTGTACTTCTGTCAAGCAACCAGGAAATGGTAAGTCACTTTAACTGAGCCACATTTCCTGTCTTCTCTCAGCTGGTCTTATCGTCACCATGTTCGCTTCCTTCTTTGCCGCTACCACAGCTATATTGGAAGAGCGTGCATCACCTTGCCACGAACGACAAGCGGTAAGCTACGGTGTATCTGATGCAACCTTTCACAACATTGTTAAGGGAAATTCTGTCTTTATTTATTCTCTTTCATGTTATTCAAAACCTGGATGACTTTCGTTCATTAGAGGAACACAATGAGAAATTATGGATGGGGAAACTTTTTAAGTTTCGAAAAAAACTCATAAAAGTCTCATAATAGTGATGTATAAAACTAACGCCCCAAAGTCCAAGTCTTCTGTAAACATACGACAGCTTTGGGTTGAAAACAGTTTGAAATGTACGTTGTTATTCACTGATAATCTTCCTCTCCAGTGAGGCGTTAGTTGCTACGACCAAACCGCTATGTAGGGCTGGGTACCGAGTTTGATACTTTTTAGGTACCGACCGAATTGCCTTGATACTATCGAAAGTATCGAAAAATGACTTGTTGTTCGGTACCAGATTTCGATACCTAAGGGGTTAACTCGTTAAATCAGTACTCAAAGAGATAAATATGAAATGTACAACAACACAAAATCAAAAAAATATATATATGTTCCTTTATGCACTGGCTAAGGAGGAGCATTAGAACAAAAAATAAAACCAAAGGTTTTCTGAGGCAATGTGTATGTAATCTTGTTAAAATGGATTTCATAAAATTGGTATCGAAAAAAGTATCATTCAGGAACCGGTATCGAAATCAAGGTATCGGTATCGGTATTTTCAGTTAATTTTTTAAACGAAAATGTTTTAAACGATACCCAGCCCAACTGCTATGAGAGTTGAACTTGAGAAAAGATCACTCTGATTCTTGAGCAAATCTGAATGATTTGGTAAACATTGGTTTAGTAAACTGGATCAATTGAGTTACTGAAAGACATCTGATTCATATAATTACGGCAGATTTCAAGATTTTCAGTGAATAACAACTTAAAGGGTTATTCTGTAATCATTTACTCAACACTCATGACATTCTAAAGCCGTTTATAAACAATGTATATACTGAACATATTTAATTTAGGGTTTTATTATCAACATACTGTATAAACATTGATCAGCGCGTGTAACAACAAAAAAGGTAAATGGAAACTCAACAGGAGCTTGCTTGTTGCACAGTTGACCATTGTTTACATGTGATAAAAGCCTAAATTAAATCGGTGCATCATATAAAATGATCCTGTCTCTTCAGAACAATCGCTCAAACCATATGACAGAGTTGATAGCCCAGTTGTGCAACAGAGAAATCTCTTATTTCGGCAAAGACTAACACAGACTCTGGTTGACTGCTGTAATAGCATGCATTCATCCCACAAAAGTCAAAAAGATTTAGTGTGGCTTTCAAGTAATAGCTGAAGGGAAACCTGAAGATTGAGTGATGATATATCACTGATTCTGTCATCGGTATGAATCAATAGTCAGGGGGAAATGGCATGCCTTGACTTGATGCATAAACCAACACATTGACATCTGCATGGAAAGAGAACCCTAAAATTAAACTCTTAAAGCAATGACACGGAACTGCAGTTGAGCTGGTATTGACTCGCTCTGCCGATTGATCACTTGATCCTAACTAAGTGCTGAACTTAACAGGGGGAATAGCCAGTCTGTCCCTGTGGATCCAGTGTTGCCTACTGTTTATATCATCACTCTTAATGAGTTTTCCATTTTAAGCTCTGGCACAATTATATCCAGTAAATTAGTTTTTGAAGTTAGTTCTTGACACAGATTTCATTTATTGAGAATACCAAATTTGCAAGACCATTTTGAACACTTTTATGAAAAAAAAGAAGAAAACTAGTAGAGTTTAATATATAGGTCCCTTTGCCTGGCATTTGTGTATGTCTGTGGATTAACCCATTAAACTGTGTTATGATATATATATATATATATATATATATATATATATATATATATATAGGCTAGATCAATAAGTCAATAATATCAATAAGTCATTAATTCTCAAATAATTTATCCAATTTCAATATAAACAGTTATAAAATAAAATAAAAAAATGGGAAAAATGTTTTGCAGTGTTCCTAATATTATTTTCCACTGGCAGATAAAATATGTGAGAATAACTATTTTTATGTACAGAGGTTTGGTGGTCTGCTGTTACTCGACTAGATAATCCGTCAGGGTTGCTTCATTTCAACAGAATTAAAATTGCACTTTCTCAAACTAACCGTCAAAAAATAACAACAACATCCAACATACTAAATCATTTTAATTGATAATGGGAAATGAAAATGTTTCATGCAGATCTCAGAACTGAAACTATTGTGAAACCATTGTAAATTCATATTCACATCCATATGTGGAAGACACTCTTACTACACAAGGCATACCAGCCAACAAAAATGAGCTACACTTAATGCTTTCTACATGAAACTTCAACTAATTCTGACGTTTCATGAATAAGGTACACAACAAATCAACAAAGTCAGCATATGGAAACAAAAATTTGGCAGAAATACATTTTAGATGATGTGTGATTATTATTTTTGGCACTTAATAGTAAAAAAACAACAACAATAACATTATATTTAAATGTATGTTATATGCCAATGGCAGTTAATATTATAGGGTGAATTTTTGGTAATAAAAACACATTTGATGTTGAAACTTTGACGTTGTGTGATTTTGATTTTTTCATATAGTCAAGAAAGTCAAAACCACTGAGGTGGAACAGACCAAAATCCCCATTTCAAGGGGAAGATGGAGACAGTTGATGAGTTTAAAATGAAATGGTTTTCATGTGAGATTAATTCCATGTTAAGACATTATTGTATCAAATTGGTCTCTTTAATGAGTACATTAGTCATGGAAACTAAACTAATCCATTTCCCTTTTCCATAAATATGATAATTGTCTTGTGATGATTTAAGGAGAGTTAGTTTAATTCAGGTCAGTTTCTGAATGCTATATTTTCAGTGGTATTCACTGTATGAACAATGAGTTCAGTGGTATTCTCTGAAGATGGCAAATCACAGATGAGCCATTCTGTTTGAGATTCCTTGCGGCTCTCGGCGCCTGCAGCTGCTCAGCGGACACAAAGAGAGTTTTTCACCCGGTTTCTATTAATTATTCTCAATGTCAGTAAACACATGCCCCAGGACACATGTGAAAAAGACTTTTCATA